TCTAACGCAACTCAGACTCTGACTCTGGCTCTGACTCTGACTGGCTCCGTCCCCAGCTGTATGAATGTGGAGCAATTAATGTACGTGTTTTGTCATTTCATGCCACGACATTGTCTAGGGATTGTATAACAAACATTTTTATAGAAATACATATATAATTATACATATATATATATATAATATGTGTGTGTGTGTGTGTACGTAGTATGTTATGTGCATAATTAAGCCGGTGTATCCGTTAAAGTATGCGACACTTCCGGCTCTGAAGATGGGCTTACAAATAATAATAATAAAATGAAGAGAGTAAAACCCTAAGACTTTCAGTCTCAGTCAGTCACTTACTCATTCAGCCTCCATCTGTGGCATTGCCTTAATACAATTCATTGAGCGCTGACCACGCTTCATGCCATGCTGCTATATAGCATACAGAAAAGGGGTTATTCTTCCATTCCTTTTATGCAGCATTTGTAATGCTAACTGGCAATGCTTTCGCAGGAGTTGCGGGGGAGCTCACCAACACACTCTGTGTCACATTGTGGAGGCTGATGGAAGAGGCTGCGGAAATGCCAGAGCACGAGTGAAAAAATGCAGCTGGACATTGTACGTGCTCCAGATGAATAGATATAATGTTACATGGAAAAGGAAGGCCTTTAATTAGTCTTAAGTCTTGACATACTTGGCAGCAATTCCAGCTGAATGACAGTGCTCACTGGACATTGAGCCAGTTCTTTAATAACAGCCTTTAGTAAATTGATCGGAATGGGGCGAAGAGCTTAGATATAGAACAACAAACGACATATTGCTAACCTAACTGTAATGCCGTTAAAAACAATATTAATGAATGAGTCTGTGTTAAAAATTAGATATTGTTGGGACAGTTTGGGACAAATGAAAATTTATCTGAGTTACCTGATACGCAGTATTCATTACTCGCAGTTGCAGTCTACAACGAATTTTATTTCTTTTTCATAAGATTTGTAAGGGATAAATCATATTAATTAGAACAATATTTAATAGTCGAATAAACTAATATTTCTGAATTTCAATCTTTAAGCATGAAGCTCCCTCATTCATCGAGTGTTGTTTTTGCTCAGCTGCAACTTCAAATTAAATATCCATTATAATCCGAGCATGCATGCAATTGAAAAACATGAATGAGCTGCTGTTTTGTTTCATGATGTTAAAGTGTTTCACTTCTGAGTTAAATGAATTGAATTGAAGTTGTTGCTCTCGAAATACATTTCCTTGTGCGTATGCATTGGGTTTTGTGGAAAATTTCTTGTAGTTTGTGAACTTACCTAACTCTCGGCTGCTTCTAACTTTGTTTTATCTTGTTTGCCTTGTCAATATTTAAGTGAAATTTTTTGTTTTTGTTGAATATTTGTTTAAGTGCTAATAAATCTAGTTATGATTGATATTCCTACAGCATATACAAGATAAAGCGACGGACCCTTTGGGTCTTTAGGCTTGCCTTCGGCCTGCGGACAACAGCGCTCTCTCCCTCTCGAAATACTCTTGATGAAGCTACAACTTGTGCAGTTTTTTCACTTTGCTGACTACAGCTTAATCCCTTTGACTGGCTGTTTATAAAAAATATCAACACATTCATAAAGTTCACCCTGAGCCCCGACTCTGATGCAGCTTATCTGGACAGCTGAGCCAGACAAGTTGAGAGGAGCACAACACGAATTTGACACATGTCATAAGCAATGGCAAACACACACACACACACACACACACAAATAACTACTCTCCTGTGAGGAGGGGACCAACTTGTATAAGCCACAAAAAAACAAATCACTTGAGGGCAGCACACGACAAGTATAGTCCCTATGCCTCCTGCCCCCGTGGCACCGTGGCCCCATGGCCCCTTCTAGATGAAGGCGTGCAACTTGGCATTATTTGAATTAAGTGCATACTTAAGCGTAATTTATTGGAAAATCCACAAGAGCCCATGGCCCGAGGGGCAGCCATTTAGCCAAACAACAGATTGTGGGCACAACTCTATAGATGCAAAGAGCGCCAGTGGCTCTACATAAATCTATTGTTTCAAGGCAATTCTCAGTTGCTGATGCTCATTAATCTAGAGGTCCAACCCGTCTCCTGGCATTCTATCTCTATGCCACTCTCGCAGAACTATTTGAATAGTGCGCTTCACTGTTTGCCCAAATGTCACTCGCTTTTTCACGCGTTATCTTAATAAACCCGGACAGACAGTGTGGGATGTGGGTGGGTTTGTGGTGCTGATTGTGGTCGAGTTGCTGCTGCCCGCCTGCCACCGCTGTCGTCTTTTCATTAGACTTGTATACAAGTCCCCAGGCAGTGGCATCTGCTTCTGGCCTTTTGGTTTATGGTACGAGTAACGAGTTATTGGCATGCATTGAATTTTGCTTTCGGAATTTTTGTGTGTGCTGAACCAAAGAGTAGACAATCATTGGCATGTATAGAATTTCACTGATTTATGTTTCATATGAAACTCCAAAGAGCAGACTGATGCCTCCCCCTCCCACCCACACACAATCTTTCCCAGCCAAAAGGCTGAAACTGAATCTGAGTTTTGAGACTGAGGCCCGTCTCCGGTTGGTGACAATGCTGTGATTACATCTTTTGAGCATTTTACCCCACACTTCCGTTTTCTCTTCATCATCATCATCATCGCCATCATCATTACGGGAATAAAGGCATGCTTGAGCAGCAAAAATATTTTTGTGCTAGAGAAATGATAAATTTTTGATTAAAGGCTCGTCGAATGGCTGATGGGTGGCCTGTGTTTGGCATGCCTTTGATAGGCAGCTCCATGCGAATATACAGAAACACGCTCCAACACACAAGCAGTAGGTGTTTTTTAGTTGATGTGTGTGTTTAACTCTTAGATACCCTTTGATGCAGTACAGGCTAAGATCTTCACTTTAATAAGACAGCTCTACTGAATCGTATTTATTATAATTTTTTTATTTATATTATATTTTTATATAGGCTTTCAGCATTGACTATACTCACACTGATACGTGCGACCATCTCTAGAGATCTCAATTATTTAAATGTATTCAGTCTCTTAAGTCAGTCAAGTCTCCTGCATATTGTCGTCTCTTATAGAGCATATAAATAATTTCCCAAGCTTGTTAAATTACATTTGCCCAGCAATGTTCATTGAGTTTCGTTGATTGTCAGTTAAGAATATTTGACAGGCGGCTGCCCCAGCCTCCCATTCCCTCTTCGTCTCAGTGATTACTCGAGTTAGAGCGATGTCTCGTTATCATTCATATTCTCAATCAAATTTCAAGTCAATCGCTGCTGTCAGTTATCCAAATGTTAATTTAAACAATTAATTTCAATATATGGTATCGAGAGTGCATGAGTGAGAGATAGAGAAGGGGACAGAGTGTATATTTAACATGTCAATTTGCAAATTAAATACACAACATGACAGACAAACAGGAGACAGCGAGAAGTGTGCCGCAAACGGGGGCATGCGACACAGATGAAAATGGAAATGGAAATGTTGGAATTGGAGATGGAGGCAAGACCACACAGTGCACAAGTGCACTAAATATAGATCTGATTTGGGCAGCGGTTGAGCGTAGAGTTTATGACTGACTTCGAGTGGAAGAGCTAAAGAACTAACAGATTGAGCACCACTACTATTAGAAGAGGACGACGACAAACCCAATTTCTAGACACATTTAATTGAGCCAAAGTGCTCACTTAAGGTCTTAAATCTAGCTTTAAATGAGGGTAACATAGTTCAGGTTAGCTCACAAATGAGCGTGGGCTTTTAAGATTCCAAAGAAAAATTTCAATCCAATTAACAAATGAATAGCTTAAATGAATGGATACGGAATTGCCTAATCTGCATACATTCTAATTCTGAGTAATTTCGCTGGGGCATAGTTGGAAAGTTATCGAAACACATGTTCTTTTCTATTGTACAGACGTTGGTTGAGTCATTAGTTAATTTGCTTTCTTCCTGTGTGCTCTCTGCCCGTTAGCTACAGGTTCTTGGGGTACTTAGGGAAACATATGTTGCCAATGTAAGATTGTATAATAATAGTTCTATGACTATGGTGATTAGTCTTCTTGCTGTTGGAGCTGTCAGCTCCTGCTACTGACAGGTGGTTCGATAAAAAAGAAAGGAAAAACTAACCCTCAAGAACTGTCGGTGGACTTAAGACCAAATGGTAAATATGAAAGAGGACCCTAATAGGCGCTGCCTATGTTTGAGTAATGAGAATTTTCTTATGTTGCTCGAAGGTGAAATTTAAAAAACAGGTTGTTAGACTTCAATATTATAGTAATTTGAAGTCAAAATAAAATATATGTGCGATGCAAATATGACTTTGAAATATCGAAAAATGTAGTCATATTAAAATAATACAAAAGAAAGAAATTTCGAGAAATATAATATTATGCGAATGTAGTTAATAAATATCTAAATTTAGGTGTATTATTATATATGAGTTGTGTGTTCTTATATACAAAACAATTTATATACCTTTGTTTTTAACTTGTGTTATGATAAATCTCCAAGATTAGACGACCTTTACTGTTGATTTTATGTTATTCAAAATCTGATTAATTTTAAGAATTATATAGAGATAATTCTTATTTATCTTATTTAGATTGGTAACTTCTGAATTACTCTGTGATTGTTATGGACAACTTTAAATGCAACCCATCAAATATCAACTGTCACATTAGTTTTTGTTCTATTTTTTATTTTATTTAAGTGTTATAAAATGTGGTGTTCATGTATAAGAGCACATTTGTGTGCATATATATATAATATGTAGTTATGTATATGTATTTAGCTATGTGTGTCCGTATATTTATATCGCAGTCGGTAACAATTTCCTGTTATTGCATTGACATAGACACGCTTGCCGAATTTATAGATAATTTTTCATGATTTTTCCTGACATTCTGCTTCATGCTCTCGCTCTTACTCTCACTCTCACTCTCGGTCTCATTGTCTGTCTGTCTCTTTTTCTATTTCGTTGCAGATGCGCGGAACGGACCTCATGATGAAGTTGCCGACGAGGCGTCTCTGAACTGCTGACAGCCAAGTGCCAGCGCCAGTGCCAGTGCCAGTGCGTGCGTATCTCAAAGCAACCAACAGCGACAACAACAACAATACTGAGTCGCAGCGCATTTCCGGCTGGACGCACCTACCTAACTAAGTGGACGGCTACCTACGCACTCGCTCGTCACTCGTTGCTCTTCGCTGGCAACTCGTCGCTCGTCGCTCGCTGCTGCTGTTGCTGCCATTGCAACTGGCCAGCTGCTATCAGTTCTTCCGAAGCGCGCGGTCGCGACGGGCTGCAAAAAATCCAAATAAATAAGTAAGCGCCGGGAGAGCGCGGTAACAACAACAACAACAATAACAATAACATCGAAATCATTAACGAATATCGAACAACGAAATACAGCAAACCAATGCTCCGCCGTGAACAATCAAATACAACCATATATACATATATACATATATATGTGTGTGTACATAAATATATATAGAGAAATATAAAGTGCGGAAAATACGTGAAAAACACGGAAAATACGGTAAACGGTCGCCAACAATCCTTTTGCCTTGCGCAAATATTTGTGGAAACGTGATTGCTGTTGACAAAGTGGCGTCCGCACACGCACTCGATACTTTCAATTAGGCACGTTGCTTATAAATGTGCCACAATGGCGCCGCCGTCCAGGACGACGACACCATCAACGGTGCAACCACCGACGCGTTGTAAAGCCACTGTCACGGCAACAGCTAAGGCTCTAATCCTGCCCCTGTCCCTGTCACGGCCCCTGCCCCTGCCCCTGCCCCTGCTGCTGCTGCTGGTACTAGCTGCAGTCACGGTCCGGGCTGAACCGTATTCGGGCGGCTTTGGCAGTTCGGCCATCGCTAGCGGTGGCTTGGGCTCCGTGGGCATTCACATACCCGGCGGCGGAGTGGGCGTTATCACTGAGGCGCGCTGTCCGCGGGTTTGCTCCTGCAGCGGTTTAACCGTCGACTGTTCGCATCGTGGATTAACCCAGGTGCCGCGCAAAATATCAGTGGATGTGGAAAGACTGTAAGTACTAAATATATATTATACCACACGTATATGGCCAATCAAAAGACAATCAAATCAACAACAACAACGACAGGATGAAGCCTGAGATATTGATACTCAGAAGCTTTAATGCTTTCACTTAATATAACACCGCTATAAATGTGATTGTTGATTATATACTTGCATTGCGGATTCATAAAAAGACCATAAGCTGCTGCAATCAAACTATCGACAGACTACATATGCGTTAACTTTTAATATATATCTTGCATTCAGTTTGTGTGGGCAAAGTGAGCAAAAGGATTAAAATACTCGACTATGAGATGCCCTGAAACCTGAGACTAGGTGATACTCTATTAGTCTATGCTTTTCCCACGCCTTCTTCTGCCTTTTGCCTGCACTTTCACAAGCCCATTATACACTGATTGACCATTGTCAAGGGGTTAAGGGTATAATGAAAACAAGAGTGACTTAATCGAGACTGCTCGACTAGAAGATACCCTGAATCCTAAACATCCTACGCTTCTACCATGCCTCCCTCTGTCTGCTCATGCATTTTCACAAAACCTTTATAGCCTAAAAGCCTATTTTTAATGCATTCAGGGCTTTACTTCAGGCCAATCTTTTCTTGCCAGACATTTTCTTTCTTAGTAACAAATCTTTCTAACAGACATGTCTAATCTTTAGGACAGCAATATCTTAAAAAGCCTGATAAGGTTATTCCGGTTTCCGATTATATATTGATGCGAAACATTAATTTACATACAGATTGCTATATGATTTCCATGTGCTATCTGACGTAGTCAATAGTCGTGTCAGTTGTATACCTCCGTCAGTCAGTCATTGTGAACTTGTTGATCAACAATAAAAAAAAAAACTTAAAACATGTTTCCATTAAGTTTTGATCATAGAAATTTGAATATATTTGAAAAATTTCAGATATTTATAAAAAAACAAACAAAGCTTGCGTATTTTGGAAGTCTTAACAAATGATTATAATCTACGGAGCCGCAGCGCTCCTAAATGTTGATAAAAAAGCTATTCAAGCTTAATTAAGAACGATTGTAACCAAGTAATATATTTTACTATTCAAGACTCATTTCATTTGAGTATTCTAAAAGTCATGGGAAACACAAATATTTGCGCTAAAAATTCAAATATTTTTTAAGCAAATACTTGGGAACAAAATAAGCGCTCATAAAATAGATCAAATAAACAAATTTTGCTCGTTAAAAGCTTCAATTTGTTGGCTCTAAATTCAAGGGTGAATCGATTAGTTACTTACTCAAGCTTAATAGATAGTTACATAAATAAAATAAATAAAATGTGAGCAAATATTGTTAAATAAATATTGTAACGGGTCGTTTAAAAATATTTAAGTTTCTTAACTATTCAGATGATGCAAAATAAAGTATTTTATACTCATAAAGTAAAATGTGCAGTTGCTTACATAACCACGTTTTATGCAGATGGGTTTGCCCTGATATGATAATCCGAAATCTCACAAGCGCATACAGATAATGATACACACACACATGTTTGTATGTATGTGTATATATATGAGCCTTATCTGTGTGCCTATTTGCATTGCGAACTGCATGAACTAGTTTCCAGCCTTGACAATGATCTATATGGCAGCATACGATATGTTATATAATTTATATATATATATATGTATATATACACATAGCACCAGGCCAGCACAGCTGAACACTTCTGGTATTTACATTTAAAAATAAAAATCAGCATAGACAAGCGACAAGCAACAACAACAAAAGCAAATAAAGCCGTGACCATTTCGTGTCGATAACAACGAGGCAAATGGACAAATGGTTGAATGGTTGCAGGCAACGGCAACGGCACAGGCAAATCTGTCGTCTTGTGCTGTGTCTCCGGAGTCGTACATTAAATTGCCATTAAGTTTATTAATTGTCGCCGGAGGAGGCAGCATAAGCGCATCAGGCGGTGCAGCGTGGCAACTGGCGGCCACTTTGGCAATTGTTGCATGCAACTGGCAAACGGGCAAACGGGCAAATGCATTAAGCCGACGTCTGCGTACGCGGACGCCACATAAATTAACGCGCCGGCAATTAGCAAGTGTATGCAAAATACCACAGAGTAGCGCCCCAGTGCCGAGCCACGCCCTCTGCCGAGCCGCCTCTATCAAGCCCCAACAGACCTGTAGACCGCTGCGCAGCGACCTCAAAAGCTGCAGTTGCAAGCGCTGCTGCCGCGGCAACAATTGTTGTTGCTTTTTCTCTACATAAATTAATAACAGATATCAACGTCGAGCAGCAGCAACAACATAGCCCAGTTATAAGCAGTCAAATAGCGCTCAGGGACACATTTGTTTTATGCAAAAAGCAAAAGCGAGCAGAAAGAAAAAAACGCGGCAAAAAAAGAAGAAAAAACAGAAACCGAAACAGAAAATATATCAACATGCACGGCATATTTGCATTTTAAAATACCAGGCGCCTCCCCTGCACAGGGTGTTTCAAGCCACGGAAAAGTTATTACGGAAAATTCTGACTGGCTGACTGACAGTCTGAGTGCTGAACCATGGGGAGAACTCACTTAGTGAAAGGTAAATTGAAAAACTGTGAAAGTAAGATTGTATATACACACACATATATATAAATAAATATATATATACATAAATTTATATAAAAGGTTACAAATTCGTGCAGTAAAAAGAACGTAGTGGAAATATGAGTACTACTTAGATGAGAATTAATTGAAAGCTGAAACATGAGCCGCACAAATGCCAGAGGGGAGGTATTTAAAAATATGATTGACAGTTTTATTTAAAATCCATGAAGACAATAAATACTCAGAGCTCAAGTAATTTCATGAATATTTATAGCTCAGAGAGTCGAAGAAGTTGAGATTTTTATTGTAATTGAACAAAATCTTGAGTATTCATTTGATTCAAAGTAAAAACATTAAATTGTGGTAAGACGATGTGAAGTAATGCCCAATTATTTTCCATCGATACAAACTCTGAATATCCAGAAGTTAGATTATAAATAAATATATATATATATATATATATATATATATATATATATATATATATATATATATATATATATATATATTTCATATATATCAGTATTACTGCATATGCTTAAGCTTGATATAATATTGGAATATTTTGTTAACAGATACGTCAACAATTTAAATTCTACTCATGTTCATTTTTTGAATATTTAAAAAACTACTACAACTTTTTCTATGAACTTTAAGGAATTAAATCTTTGAAACATTTTCAACAAATTTCAAGTATGCATTAAAGAACCTTCTGCTGCTGAAACCACTCTCTAAGCCCGAGCCCTATAATTTGTGTTGAGCTTTGACATACATTATTTAGTGCTACGCACATTTTTGCATGCTAATTCATTAGTTTTAATTTAATTATAGTAGAGCTACTAAAACCACATAGAAATTGCGCCAACACAGTAACCCTTTTATTAAACAAAAAAAAAAAAACAAAAAATAGAGTGTAATAAAAGCAGCCGAAAGGCTCTGCTGAACTAGTCATCTGGCATTAATTAAAGGATTCTTAGTGACATTTTAATTGATGGTACGTTAATGACTGAATACATACATAAAAAGAACTGTTTGTATTAGCCATGATAATCATCAGCTGAGTTGAGTCACCCTAATGCTAGCATAGATTCTTTGTGGAGCTCACACACACACTCATATGTGTGCTGTGCCCATCAAATATTGAACATGCCCACAACTATTGGCAGGCAAAGCACACTGGGACAGCAAAAACAATGCCCAATGCAAAACTGGGGCTGGGGCTGGAGCTGGGGCCAAAGCAATGTGGACTCAGACCCAGACCAAGCCGACTCTTGCCATTTAATTACACAGCAGAGCGACAGGCGGCATAGTTACAGGAGAGAGAGATAGAAGATGAGAGGGAGCTAGAATTAGAATGGTAACCAACTGGTTGACTGTCTGCCAGTCAACCAGTCAGCTAGTCAGCCACCCACACGTTTTCTAGAATCGACACGAAAACAGTTTTTGCATAGAACTTTGGCCGGGGACCTCACACAACCCTGGCGAACTCACAGACCAATTTGTGCTCGAAAGCCCTTTCACACCTTTAGAATAAAAGCAAAAAAATTCAGTTGAGTTAAATTCGAAAAGGTGAGCCTAATTTATAGCTGCCAAAATCTTCAAAGACAACCAACAGAATAGAAAAGAAAAATGAAAAAATGATAAAATGAAACGAGCAACTCGAGCTGAAATCTAATTGGGACCCTAAAAAGCTGCAAGCTTTTTGCTCGCCCAATTTGTGAATGCTTCAAAAGATTTAATGAATTTAAATCTTAAATGCTATATGTTAAATGTTTAATTATAACACAGGGTTCAAAGGGAAAGAAAGAGTTAAGCGCGAACGCACACGCACAAAGCCAAAGACTCAGAAGCTGACAAACAACTTACGATTATTTTAATTATTTTAAAAAATATTTTGAAAAATGTCTAGCAATTAGAAGAGGCTTTTGCTTTTTGCATTTTTATTTTATTTTATTTTTTTGTTTCGTTTCTATTTATTTTCGTCTTTTGTTTTAAGTCTCAGGCGTATCTCGATGTGTCTCTGTCTGTAATCAGTTGAATCTAAGCAAGAGATGCCCACATCTTCCCAAGATATTAAGCTCATTAAAAAACTCTGCTTGTGTGCCGTGTACATGTTGTGTGTAGCAGCTTCGACCTGGTCATAATTATACACTGAGCTTGAAGAGTAAACGCTACTTAAGTTCCATTTAGGTATTACATTATTTTCAGTTGCAAGACAAAATGAATGAGGAAGAAGTTAGCAAGCTGCAGAGAGGAACTGAACGAAGAAACAGATTTTAGTAAATTTCAAATAAGTTATCGATACTAGCTTAATAACTTTATGTAGCTTAATTATATATATCAATGTTTTCCCTTTAAACTTTTTTGGCGTTAATAGCTCAGATGTATAACCCGTGCCTTATGTTTTTCTCTCAGTGTACGCGCTCATCGGCCACTTGATGCGAGTTTCATTAAGGCTTAAGTTGAAAAATATTTCTCGTTTGTGGCTCTAGCTCTGGCTCTGGGCCCAGACTGAAGGTCTTACTACCTGTTGTAGCTTGGCTCTGGCTGCCAACCTTACTCAAAAAGCAGCTGAGCTGAGGCACCAGGCACAGCGAGCTGTTGTTGCTGCTGCTGGCTGCGCATGCGCACACGGTCTGTGGCTCTTTTCAGGTATTTTGTATCTCTTAGGTTGCATTTCATTGTTATGACATCTACAGGTAACAAATTTTGTGTATATCTGTCTGTTGGTCTCTCTGCGCTATCATAAAACTAAAAAACAAGTTTTCTTCCTGCGCATGTTAAATGATTAAATATCATATTTTTGTTATCAGACAAAAGGCTGCGTTTTCAACAGCTACAGCCGCAGCATCACCCTCCTCTCTACCTCTCGTTACTCTGACTACATCTGCATCTGCTCCAGCTGCTTGAATGCATATCTCAGATTGTTGCTGTTGCTTCTGTTGTTGTTGTTGTTGTTGTTGTTGCCGTTGTTCATGTGCCTTGTCTTACAAGCAATTAAAAATTATTATCAGAGCGCACATGGTTCAGCATTTGTCCAGCTGATTCCGATTAGCGAGCTACTCGGGTTGCAACATAATTAAAGACAAGCCCCAATCGAAAGTTAAGATCTCTTAATTGTGTTTTCTCTTTCTTTCTTCTTTTTGCTTTCCAGCGATTTGCAGGGCAACAATTTGACCGTGATATACGAGTCGGATTTTCAGCGCTTGACCAAGCTGCGCATGCTGTAAGTATAAGTCGTATATCGTATTTTAATACTTTATTTATTATGTGTTTAAGAAGATTTTACATATTTATTTTGAAGTCAAGTCGAGTTCTCTCTACGATAATAACTACAAATATTCTCAATTATTTTTTTTTATTTTTTTTTATATTTCTTTTGAACCTCGTAAAACGCGTATTCAAGTTTCAGGCCAAAGTTTGTGTTCGTAAATTCTGTCTAAAATTTATCATTACGAAATACAAAATGTTGCATGCAAATTGACACCAAATGTCGTGATAACGTACCCATAAATATCAACTGTAAATTGAAATTGAAAGTATGCACGAAACTGGTCTCGCAACATGTGTATTTACTGTACTGTTCGACTGATAGTCACAAATATATTTGCATTTTGCAATGGCCAAAGCATTGGATTAGCTAAATCCAAAATGCTTAGCAATAAATTATATAAAGATAATGAGAATCTGATTTGATATTAGTTTGGCCCAAGAAACCAGAAATTCTAAGAGCAATCTTATAAGAATAATCTGATTTTTTGATGAACTAGTAAAGTAATTAACGACGGTAACTAAAGTTAAGTTATGTGACTTGTTAAATATAGTTACTTTTAAATAAGATAGAAATAAGTCTTCAGTAACAGATCTTTAATATTATTATTATTAATATTATTATTATTATTATTATAACTTTACAATATAATACTTACAATACTTATATAAATTATATTATTTCATATGAATTCTAACTTGATAGACAGATATTTACATATATATTTGACATGATTTGAGAATATAAAATCAAGTCAATGCTCAAATATGAAATTGTTAAAAAGCGATTATTTTATTTGTGTATTCTCTCCACAGTCAACTGACGGACAACCAAATACACACCGTTGAGAAGAATGCTCTGCAAGACTTGGTTTCGCTGGAGCGACTGTAAGTAGTGAACTGCATCGACTGCAAGGTTGGGATAGCAAACCAATCGAATGACTTGCCGATGCGATGCTAGTGCATGAGATTTTTACCACTAATTCACCGTTTTGACTAACCAACAATTTGCTGCTCTTTATAGACATAGATGCACATAGCGCATATCAGAAATTAATACATTAATCAATTAATCAATTAATTAATTAATAATATTAAACTTGTAACGTGCAAAATTCGATTTTTGTTGAGTTTTGAGTTTAACTTTTTGTATCTTTTTCTCGTTTCGTTTTATGCATATCTCTCCACTTTCGTTGCGTTTCGTTTTGCGTATCTAATATGCTCGTACACCAAACAAAAATACAAAACAAAACAAAAAACAAAAACCAAACACTTCACTCTATAAATCAGACGCCTAAACAACAATCGACTTAAGGCAATACCTGAAAACTTAGTGACAAGTTCAGCGAGTCTTTTGCGATTGTAAGTAATCAACGTAGCTCTGTAGCAACTATATTTACCTATACTCTACCTACATATATTGTGTAGCAGTAGCCCCATAGATTACAAACACTTACTGACTTTCAAATCCTTCCTCTTCCCGCCTGCCCACCTGCCTCCTGCCTGCTGCCTGCCTGCTGCCTACTGCCTTCCTGCCTGCTAACCTCGGCTCGCCTCGACAGGGACATCTCGCACAATGTCATCACCACGGTCGGCCGGAGGGTCTTTAAGGGCGCCCAGTCGCTGCGGAGCCTACAGCTAGACAACAATCAAATCACATGTATGGATGAGCATGCCTTCAAGGGATTGTTGGAGCTGGAAATACTGTGAGTACTGGCCGAAGCAATTAGGGATGGGCAAATTCATTGGTGCACTTTTCTTATTTATAATATATGCTATATATATGAAGACTTGATAAGCAATCCTAGAAAACAGTGTTGTAAGCGATGCAGTGCTGGAAAACGATGATCGCTGAATAATGAATAAGTGAATGCATTATGTGTTCTAACTGTAAAGGAAAAGTATTGACACACACGCGAATGTGCTGTTGCCCATCCCTAAGTGTGGCCTGGCAAAGAGGCAAAGATGCATTCACTTGATAATGCAATAATGCAACTTATTTTCCCCCAAGCCCCACCTCTTAACCTAGCTGGCTCTCTCTCTTATTTTCGCTTCTGCCTTCTCTTTTGTACCCGCACACAGCACACTGAATAACAATAACTTGACCGCCCTGCCGCACAATGCCTTCGGGGGATTGGGAAAATTGCGGGCGCTGCGCCTCTCGGATAACCCATTCGCCTGCGATTGCCATTTGTCCTGGCTGTCGCGCTACCTACGCAGCGCGCCGCGTCTCGCCCCTTACACGCGCTGCCAATCGCCGTCGCAACTGAAGGGCCAAAACGTGGCGGACCTGCACGATCAGGAGTTCAAATGCTCAGGTATGGACCACATGGCATCGCTTCCAGCTCTGGCGCCCTCCAAAAACGGACAAATGTCGTGGGGCTTCAGCTAAGCTATGCCAAATTAATTAGTTTTATATGCCAGTATTGACTGGAACAAAGCATTGTAAATCATAAGCAGTCATATGGGCACGCCCCACTGTGCCGCCCACTCAAGTCAATAACAATAACAACAGCAACAGCAGCAGCTCGGGGTACAAGCGGAGAGCGAAGGGACAGAGGCGGCTTTTGGCAGGGGTGAAGGGTGAGCACCATCATCATCGTGTGTTTGCCAAAACGTTTAACGCCGTCATCGCTTGCTTGATTGGGATGCAGATGCTGCGGGCTAAAGCAGCATTTGGAAAGCCTCTTAATGGATCGACTTGACTCGACTCGAACGTGAGCAACTCCAAACTCTGGCGCTCAATGAAGCGGAAAATGTGCGCCAAACGATGCCATGAAACGAGTTTTTCATCCATCGTTACATTGTACTTGTTATGCTCTATGTCATAAAGAGTTACACGCTTCCATCAGGCACTTGCGTATTTAAGCTTGGTAATAGCGCAATGTTAAATGAGGCGTTAATTCGATTTGACTTGATTTGATTCGATGTTTGCTGCCTGTTTAATGGCATATTTCATTTTTGATTGAATTCAGTTCAGGTCTTGAGTCTGATGTGCTGGAATATAGCTTTTGCATAGTTAAAGGAAGAATGGAATGATCTGAGAGTTCAAGGAAGAGACACGTCGAGGCATTTCTTAGAAGACGCCGACTATTAAATTACATTTTAAACAAATTATTCAGTCGAAATAAAAATTATAAAATGAAGGAAGGGCATCTCAAGATCATCTTACGTTCGTCAGCTTAGTTAGAGCTTTATTTTCTTAGCGTGTGTTTGACTTTCGTTTTGTATACAAAATGCTATGGAATTATGTGGGTAAACATTTATGACCAGCGGCAGCTGTGGCTCCAGTTGGAGCTTAAGTTGTTGCTGGGTAGCCATCAGCTGCATCTTTGCGCGCTGCAGTAGCATTCATAATTATGTAGTTGCTGCTGCTGCTGCTGTTGTTGTTGCAGTTGCCTCGGCTACTGCTGTGGATCAAATCAGAGCCAAGTGGCTCAACTCTGGTTTGCTGAATGAATCGCTGTAACCAGCTCAAGATGCAGTTTGCTTTACACATGCCACACTTGCTACATGCACACTTTCAGGTCTCACCGAGCATGCGCCAATGGAATGCGGCGCGGAGAACAGCTGCCCCCACCCCTGTCGCTGTGCCGATGGCATTGTCGATTGCCGTGAGAAGAGTCTGACGAGTGTGCCCGTTACGCTGCCGGATGATACCACCGAACTGTAAGTCTAACCACATGGATAACAAATTTAGGCACATTGTAACTGTTGTTTCAAATTTTCGCTTACAGGCGCCTGGAGCAGAACTTCATCACTGAACTGCCAGCAAAATCCTTCTCCAGCTTCCGGCGACTGCGACGCATTGATCTGTCGAACAACAACATCTCGCGCATTGCACACGATGCGCTAAGTGGCCTAAAGCAGCTAACCACGCTGTAAGTAGATGCACATTAGCAACAAGTAGCTCATGTAAATGCCAACAAAATGTGCAGTCGCTTCGCTGAGTGTGTGGAGTGTCAGTCAGTCAGTCAGTCAGTCAGTCTGTCTGTCTGTCTGTCTGTCCGTCCGTTTGTCCGCTTATCCGTCCGTTACACACTCCTGACAGCCACTGGGCCCAAGGGTCTCCGCTGAGGCTTGAGGGGCTAATCGGCCTATACTAAGCGTTGCCAACACCGCAAGGCATCAGATTACCTGTGCCTCTGCCTGTGCCTGCCACAATGTGCTGCCCCCCTTTTGCCGCAGTGTGAGACTGTTTGTGTGTTGTATGTTGTGTGTGTGCCAAACCAGTTGCCGCCCGCAATGACAACAACATGACTCCACAGCAACAACAACTTGAAGCAACACACGTTTCACCTACCATTTTATATACTTGCAGCGGGTATTATGAAACAGAGACCCCGCTGGCTTCATAAAGTATAGATATTCCAGATCAAATGTATACAGTATGTGTGTGTGTGTGTGCTTAAGCTCGCAAAAATCTCAGCATATAGAGACAGATAAATTGGTTAGCTTACCTGCCTTACCATAATATATCAGTCTGTAAGTAAAGGCCAGAATCTGTCTTCGACTAAAAAGATCATCTGCAAGGGTATTCATTCGTCGGCTTGCCGGAGCTACCCATTCGGCTTGTTCTGCATTTCCATTTGTGTTTCAGTTGCTTTGTCTTTTTTAACTCGGTTTTTTTCGCTTACAGCGTGTTGTATGGCAATAAAATAAAGGATTTGCCCTCGGGCGTATTCAAAGGACTTGGCTCGTTGCAGCTGCTGCTGCTGAATGCCAACGAGATCTCCTGCATACGCAAGGATGCCTTCCGCGACCTGCACAGCCTCAGTTTGCTCTCACTTTACGACAACAACATTCAGTCGCTGGCTAATGGCACATTCGACGCCATGAAGAGCATCAAAACGGTGTAAGTACCACGCCCCAAGCCCCACGCCCCACACTCCACGCCCCTTCACCCGCGCCCCTTGCTACCTCGCCCACCCTCAAATACCACTAGAACTTCCACGCCCACATTGAGAGGTTGGCTTTGGCTTGGCTGGCGAGTGCATGTTGCAAGTGGGGAGACGCCCCTTAGAACAGGCAGCTCCTTCGCCTTTTGAATGGAGGAGCACAGAGGCACTTGGTGTTAAACCTCTGAAGTGCATTTAGTAGTTCCTTTGACTTGGCAGCAACAGCGGCTCGCGTTGACATTTGTTTAGCAGCCAAACAACATCAGCAGCCGCCTTTTCTATGCCTCCGTCTAAACCCCATGGCCCCATCCACAAATATCGTTTGTGAACCGTAAAGATGTTCTACGAACAAAAGATGACGCGTTTTGTTTAGGCCACCATAGGGCGGGAGGCAGGCACGTTCGAGTATCGATAAATGCGCTGGGCTTAAGTGCTGTGCGCTTCTTAAGATGGTCTACGACTCGCTTGAGTGGGTTAAGTATTTGTCAGGGTTGTCAACTAGAAAGCAAGTAACTGGGGAAAATACAACATAGTAGGTCGAAATGCTATTTGCCCAATAAGAAGCTGTTCAGAAGATAAGAAAGTGGAATACTGAAAGAAATTTGTGCGCTTAAATTAACTAGTGAATATTGTGGATTTCCTATAGATGGACAAAGTCGTAAGAATCGACAAAATATATATTTACAAAAAGGTACAGGGTACATTATGGAAAATTATTTAATAAAATTTACCTAGCAGAGAGATTATATATAATTATTTTTATTTGTACAAAGTCGGGAACTTGAGACAAAAAAATCTTTGATTGAAAAATCAGCTTAGCATTTGAAATGCACTTCCTGAAATAAATCAGATTAACGCCTTAAGGAAAGAACTAGTTTACTAGTATTAGTCCTGCAGCTGGTATAAACAAATTATATTTTATTTAAGCAAGTAGACATAACTTTATTTATTTATTTTTAGAGCCATTCGCAACAGAGTCACTGAGTTGCGCTCATCAGATAGTCTCATTAGGAAACTTCGTAGTCGCTGCTAAGTTTAGTCCGTTTAGTTTCGTTTTATAATTAAGAGATGATTTAAGATGACTTTAGTTGCTAGCTATTTTATGGCCACTCTGTCACACGGCATTAACAGGGAAAACTCTTGGGCAAGGATTGCCTTTGAAAATAGTTTTCAAAACGTTGGCAACAACAGCAACGAACAACGGAAACGTTGCAGCCGCAGGGCTCGTGCACTTTTAAGACGTCTCAAGCCTCCATCCACAACGGCCAACAAGACTTTTGCCTTTCCTTGTGCCATCCGCTCCTCCGCTGCTCCCCTCCTCAGCAACTCCCCTCACTCCATTCAGTACAAATGCTCAATGCTACTTTCTTGCTTTCTTTCCATTTGCAACACAACGAAAAATACTTGTATACATATATATATATATAAATCTGTATATATGTGTGTGTATAGACATTTGGCCAAGAATCCTTTCATTTGTGACTGCAATCTGCGCTGGCTGGCCGACTATTTGCACAAAAATCCCATAGAGACAAGTGGAGCACGCTGTGAGTCACCGAAGCGGATGCATCGCCGGCGCATTGAATCTTTGCGCGAGGAGAAATTCAAATGTAAGTGCGCCCGACGGGCAAAACAAGACAAGTAAAAGAATATGTCTTAACTGTGTGTCCCACCTCCACCAACTCGCCCACCCACTACCACCCACTTGACAATTGTGCAGGTTCCTGGGATGAATTGCGAATGAAGCTATCCGGCGAGTGTCGCATGGACTCAGACTGCCCATCCATGTGCCAGTGCGAGGGCACAACGGTCGACTGTGCGGGACGTGGTCTCAAGGAAATACCACGCGACATTCCATTGCATACCACAGAGCTGTAAGTTACCAACAAGACTAAACTCCTAGAATACTTATCACAATACATTTTATATAAGTGTTACCCCGCCTTAAATGGACGGCTCTTAAGGCAGCTCATAAATTATTTGCTAACCATTTCTATAGCAAAAGTCTTATGTACTTCAAGTTATGTCTTATGGCTTAGTGAACTCAATTCGAATATAATAGATATAAACATAGATATAGCAACGTAATGATATTAAAGTAAAGATTCTCATATAAGTTATGTATTATTCAAGCTTTTGACAAACGCAGAAAACAAATAAATCTAAATAAATAAAATAAATAAAGAAAATATCTAAATAAATAAAATAATAATTTAATAAATTTGATAACAATTCAGATTGTATATTGTTAGCCAAAGATGTACTTAGTTGGCTTTAAATATTGTCCTATTATTTAAGCCATTAGATTAATGTGAACATGTCGTAGGAGTTCAGTAAATTTATAATAACTTCAGCTCATTTGTTGTATTCTAAGTAAGCTGCTTACATTAAACATCGACTTTAACCCGAGTCTGTCTGATATATTTTTCATAGTTTACTCAATGACAACGAATTGGGACGCATTAATTCGGATGGCCTGTTTGGACGCTTGCCGCATCTGGTTAAACTGGAGCTGAAGCGCAATCAGCTGACTGGCATTGAGCCGAATGCCTTTGAGGGTGCATCGCGCATTCAGGATTTGCAGTTGGCCGAGAATAAGATAAAGGAAATTTCGAATAAAATGTTCCTCGGACTGCATCAGCTGAAAACCCTGTAAGTATAAAAGGTTATATATATTTTAACCTATAAAGTGTAGCACATAGAGTATAGCCTTTAAATAGTATTTATATTTAAATATTGCCTTAATATTAAAATTATGTATTTTTACTTTTCGTTCAATTGCAGCAATCTTTATGACAATCAAATTTCATGCGTCATGCCTGGTTCATTCGAGCATCTCAACTCGCTGACGTCTTTGTAAGTACTGACACGCCCCGATGCCGCACTACCGCTGCCTCTGCCACTGCCTGGCAGAAGTCTTTGGCATTTGATGCGTCTGCTGGCTATGCATAGCTATTAAAACTGTGCCAAGTGGCCAAGCGGTGCGCTGCATGCACTTCAATAGATAAATGATTTAGCTTTGGCATTAATTGCCCCGTTCTTAGTTTACATGACCCCGCCCTCACTCGCGCTCCGCTGCCCGCCATCGCCCTGCGCTGATAGGGCACAGGCACATAAAATGAGGTTAATGGTTTTGATTGTTCCCTAGTTGAACTTCATCTGATTGCCAGCATTTCACATCAAAACAGAAGCTGCTGCTGCTGCTGCTGCTGATGCTTTAACAAATCAGTTTTTCTTCGTTGCATGCCAACATCTATTGTATATAATTCAATTGAACTTCAATTTATAGCAGTGCTGCCTACGATAAGAACTACATACACATGCACACTCACACACAGACAGACACACACATGTCTCATATAGCTCAAGGCTCACCCGGTGTCTTCATGTATCCCAACTACAATGTATGACGTATGTGTGTGTGTGTGTGTGTATTGCTCCACATTGTTGTGCGCGCCTGTTGTAAATCAACCCTCACTACACACACACACATGCAGACTTGCGAGTGTGTGCTGTGCCTTCGATGATTTAATTAATTAAAATTGAGTTCAATAAAGAGCGCTAAACCATATACAGTGCAACCTCGCTGAGTTGAACAAAGAGCATGTTTTAAAGAAAGCGTTATTTAAAACTGAAAATTGAGATTTATTGCAAATGCTTTCAGGAAATTGATGGCTAATTGAAAATGAATTTAAATCATTTTTAATAAACAGGCGTCATTGACTAAAATTAACTTGATATACAGCAATCCATGGAATGGATTCAGAAAATCAAGAAAAATATTTGGAAGAATGTTAAAAATCTTTTTGGTGATTAGTTTAGGTGCAGTTAAAACAGTCACACGCCTGAGCTGTGGCATGCTACGTCAAATATTGATTGTTTTTCCTGGTTTTTAGCTCTTCTAAAGCTTTCATAAATCTCCAAATCTATAATTCTAAATTAAAATTTAATCTCTAATAATATCTTTAATTTATTTAATACAAATTTTTCAATTCATTATAATTTTATAATTCTCTTAAATTTTCATTGCCTCTTGGCAAACTGACTTTTTTCATATAATTAAATTCAACTTCGTTAGGCTGCACTGTACTTACGATAGGTGTGTGTGTGTGCTCTTTGGTGCGAGGTGTTGCGGTTCTTTGGCCGCATCTAAAATTATTGTAAAATTCATTTAACTAGCTAATAAATAGCATCAATGAAAGTCATTAAGTGCTGTGCACCACACGACATCCACATGCTCCATCATTCAGGTGGCTGGGATGGGTGGCGAGCCAGTAGGTGCCAGCCAAAAGTGTTAGTTAGTTGCCTGCGGCTGCTCGCACACCCACACCCATACACACCCATACACACCCACGCAGACCCAGCTGCTAGCCAACGTTGATAGCATGACAAAGCAGCATTGCTTATTAAATTAGTCTGGACTTGGTGTAACGTTTGGAATTGCCAATGTAATTTGCGAGCCATTGTTTCGCCTGCTCTTAGCCGAGCGCATAATTAAAGGTCTTACAGCACTTATGCTGCTCTGCGTGCCAAGTGAGTGAGTGTAACATATGCTCCGCAAGCAATTTGCATGCCAAAAGTGCAAAATTGGAAATAATTAATGAAGCCGTTCAAAGCTGTGCGTAGCCGAAGCTGATATTCAATATCATTGCAGTCATAATGCAATTACAGCTGGTGTCAATCAAATATGTAATTGAGTTTAGCAGAACAATATGCCACAAATTATAGGAAAAGCGCTCAGAAAATTACAAAATAGACGAGTGATACCAGAGCTACAAAAACCACTTCAACTGCGCCCCATAGATCTAAGCTCGAATAAGTTTAGTTTGCTTGACTATATTAATATATTAATGCTGAAGAGACACAGCTTACGTTAAAAGAAATTAATCCATGCCAAGGTGCCTTGAAAGCTTTGTGTATGTGGGCTCAATTTGTTAAAGCTTTAATAGGCTTGTCTTCAATTGATATAGCTTAAAAAGCTTCTTTTCAGCTGTCAATTGTTAGACCTGTTCCTTGTTGGTCTTAGCCAAAAGGCTGGCATAGTTAAGTTGTAGAAGTTGTTGCAACGTGTGTTTGGAAGTAATTGATATGAAAGCTGTGCATTTATCTATCAATTTTGTAGGAATCTAGCATCGAATCCATTCAATTGTAATTGTCATTTGGCCTGGTTCGCCGAGTGGTTGCGTAAAAAATCGCTGAACGGCGGTGCGGCACGTTGTGCTGCCCCAGCCAAAGTACGTGACGTGCAAATCAAGGATCTGCCGTACAACGAATTCAAATGCAGCAGCGACAACAACGAGGGCTGCCTCGGCGATGGCTACTGTCCGCCGGCCTGCACGTGCACCGGCACCGTGGTGCGCTGCTCACGCAATCAATTGAAGGAAATACCGCGTGGCATACCGGCCGAGACGTCCGAATTGTATCTGGAGTCCAATGAGATCGAGCAGATACATTATGAGCGCATCAGGCATTTGCGTGCGCTGACACGACTGTAAGTAACAGCTTGCCACAAATTGTTGCCAGCTCCCTGACTAACTGAAAACACAAATTATTTTTCTTTGCCTCATTGCAGCGATCTCAGCAACAATCAAATCACAATTCTATCCAATTACACCTTCGCCAATCTAACCAAGCTATCCACGCTGTAAGTACTGGGCCCATTTCTAATGACTTTTTAATTGCCACAATGCGGCTCGTACTAGGCATTAAGGCAACACGAATCGAAACGTTTCAACCTCAAGAGGGCTTGACACAATTTTTTTTTTTGCTTTCTGCTTTCTGCTTTTTTGCGGCAATTGCATTTTGCGGTTTATTGCGGCGGCAGCGCGGTGGTGGCTGTGTGCGCCACCCTTGGCCTGGGCTCGTCTCGACCGGCCACGAAATTCATTCGAGACGTTAAGTCGTGACTCGTGCTTAAGCATTAGTTGTCGTCGTCCATGCTGCCTCTGCATCTCTAGTCCGTCGAACTTATGCTGCCTGCCGCTTGCCGCCTGCCGCTTGATGCCGCTTGTGTGCGCAATCCGCAATCAAAGCTGTGCCGTTTGGCATACCCTGTAGGCTTGCCAGCTGTGAAGAGTCGATCTGTTTTTATATAGTAGCTATTATTATATAGTATTAGATACTTTATGAGTTCGCGTACGTTAAAATAGATTAAACCACATGCAAGTATTGTCTATATAAAGAAGAGACCTGAAGATCATTCTGCTATTTTAATTATAAGCTTGAGAGTCATGGCAATTAATGCTAATAAAATTGGTATATTCCAATACTAAAACACAATGAAATTTTCAATTAAATATTCATTCAATTTGTGCTGAAATAACTATACGAATGATACTAGCCAAGCCACGGCTTAAGCTCTCTTCTTACTGTTAAATAACCTTTCAACTCGAACTGCTTGCCAGCTGTATGGCTCTCTGGCCCTTACAGGGTATCTCAGTAGTCGGGCAAATGTGAATTTCGCACGCTCAGTGCATTTCTTTTCAATTTTCTGTGGCTGGCTTAAAACGTTTTGCAATTACTTTCATTTCTTCATCATCGATGTGTGTGCCGCATGCGTCCGCAATTTGGTAAACGCTTCATTTTGCACATCTTCTGCGTTTCCTTCGTGTGGACCAAATCTTTATTATTTGCTTCGTTCGGTTCATTCTTGCAGAATCATTTCGTACAATAAGTTGCAATGCCTGCAACGTCATGCGTTGTCTGGTCTGAATAATCTGCGCGTGCTCTCGCTGCACGGCAATCGGATATCCATGCTGCCGGAGGGTTCCTTCGAGGATCTCAAGTCGTTGACACACATGTGAGTAGCAGCTTGCAGCAATTCCTGTTTTTCCTTTTTTTCCTTTTGATTCGCTTCGTTAACCTGCTGTGACCTCTTCACCCACTTTTGACTCTTGCAGTGCCTTGGGCAGCAACCCGCTTTACTGTGATTGCTCGCTGAAATGGTTCTCGGACTGGATCAAGCTGGACTATGTTGAGCCGGGTATTGCGCGCTGTGCCGAGCCGGACCACATGAAAGATAAGTTAATACTGTCCACGCCCTCGTCGAATTTCGTGTGCCGTGGCAAGGTGCGCAACGAGATCCTGGCTAAGTGCAATGCCTGCTACGAGCAGCCCTGCCAGAACAAGGCCCAGTGCCTGGCCTTGCCCCAGCGAGACTACCAATGTCTCTGCCAGCCGGGCTATCACGGCAAGCACTGCGAGTTCATGATCGATGCCTGCTACGGCAATCCCTGTCGCAACAATGCCACCTGCACGGTGCTGGAGGAGGGGCGCTTCAGTTGCCAGTGCGCGCCGGGCTACACAGGCGCCCGCTGCGAGACGAACATCGACGATTGCCTGGGCGAGGACATACGCTGTCAGAACAATGCCACCTGCATCGATGGCGTTCAATCGTATCGCTGCGAGTGCCAGCCTGGGTTCAGCGGCGAGTGGTGCGATACGAAGATTCAGTTCTGCAGCCAGGAGTTCAATCCCTGTGCAAACGGGGCCAAGTGCTTGGATCACTTCACTCACTACAGCTGCGAGTGCATGGCCGGCTTCCATGGCATCAACTGTACGGACAACATCGATGACTGCCAAAATCACATGTGTCAGAATGGCGGCACCTGCATCGATGGCATTAACGACTACGTCTGCAAGTGCCCGGATGACTTTACCGGAAAATACTGTGAGGGCCACAACTTGATCTCCATGATGTATCCGCAGACATCGCCATGCCAGAACCACGAATGCAAGCACGGCGTGTGCTTCCAGCCAAATGCCGCCGGCTCCGACTATCTGTGCAAATGCCATCCGGGCTACACGGGCAAGTGGTGCGAGTACTTAACCAGCATCAGCTTCGTTCACAACAATTCGTTTGTCGAGCTGGAGCCGCTACGCACCAGACCCGAGGCAAATGTCACCATTGTCTTTAGCAGCGCCGAGCAGAACGGCATCCTCATGTACGATGGTCAGGATGCGCATTTGGCCGTGGAGCTGTTCAATGGCCGCATTCGCGTTAGCTACGACGTCGGCAACTATCCGGTGTCCACCATGTACAGCTTCGAAATGGTGGCCGATGGCAAGTACCATGCCGTGGAGTTGTTGGCCATCAAAAAGAACTTCACGCTGCGCGTGGATCGAGGCCTGGCACGCTCCATCATCAATGAAGGCTCCAACGATTATCTGAAGCTCAGCACGCCTATGTTCCTGGGCGGCCTGCCCGCGGAGCCCGCCCAGCAGGCTTACAAAAACTGGCAGATTCGCAACTTGACCAGTTTCAAGGGCTGCATGAAGGAGGTCTGGATCAATCATAAGCTCGTCGACTTTGGCAATGCGCAGCGGCAGCAGAAGATCACCCCGGGCTGTGCTCTGCTTGAGGGCGAGCCCAATGAGGGCGAGGAGGACGACGAGCAGGACTTCATGGACGAGACTCCGCACATTAAGGAGGTAAGTCCAAGATCGCCTGTCCATAATCCTGTACCTAATCCCGTTTTAAACCATCCAGGAGCCCGTGGATCCCTGCGCGGAGCACAAATGCCGTCGTGGCAGCCGCTGTGTGCCCAATGCCAATTCCAAGGACGGCTACCAGTGCAAGTGCAAGCACGGCCAGCGTGGACGCTACTGCGATCAAGGTGAGGGCATCACAGAGCCCCCAACAATCACGGGTACATATTGCGATCTCTCATTCTAACATACATTCGATCGAGTCCAGCGGCTTGCGCGCAGCAATTCAAGAAACTGAAGACAATATTCATAAATAGTTTTCACATGAAAATCATTTCTATACGAACTAAACTTTGTTCAAGTCTGCCATGTCCCTTGAGCTATGAACTAATATGAATTGTAAGATTGACATCAAGTTATTGTCGGACTTTCGTACAATGCCTCAACTAGGTTGGTCACTTTTAAAATGGGAATGCAAAGAGCCATGGCAGACACCTTATGAACGCAGCTGTCTCATAGACTACTAAACCTAGCAGTCAGAACTAATTGACTCCTACACCTTGTAGGTAAAGCTTCCATTACGTAGATCAAATTAAGTGTAAATGTATGTGTATTATAAAGTTTCGGTAAAGTTCGTTGGTAGTTCAAGGGGGAGCTAGAGGCTCGGGGCAGTTATAATTTACCTGCAAGCATTCAAAGAAAGCGTATTGTATGGCAGCCAACCAACTTTCTGACAGCCTTTCACCCAGCTGCCCTGAATTGCAACGCATCCGCTAGGCTATGCTACATAACTCAATTTGCTTGCTCACACACACACACACACACACGCAAACACATACATATAACGCCTACATCAAACACACATCAAACATTACACGCCCATTTCATCTCTCATATATCTAGAGTCGCACAAGGGGGCAGGTGTTCCAGGTGTGTGCCAGCTGTTCCTGGTGTGTCTGTGTGTCTGTGTGTGCGTAATCTCATTAGCCGGCCGCCGCCGCCGTCTTCTTGTCAAAGGTGGTTCACTAATTGCATTTCCACGTTTGGTTCCACTTTTTATTGCAGCCGCCGCGACGTGTCGCAAGGAGCAGGTGCGTGAGTATTACACGGAGAACGACTGCCGCTCTAGGCAGCCGCTAAAGTACGCCAAATGCGTCGGCGGCTGTGGCAATCAATGCTGCGCGGCCAAAATTGTGCGAAGACGCAAGGTAAGAGCCAAATATGATTTCATTACCACAACATTTAAGCATCCCAACAGCAATTGCAATTGCAGAGCTATGCGAATATCTAAAGGACTTACAAATACTAATTGCTATTATTATATTGGCTAAGAAAACAGTTCTGCTAAACTCATACAGTAAATAGTTTAAAACATTTTGCATATCAGCTTGCTTTATAGACAGGTTATTTTTGTAGAATTTAGCCATAATCCAAATTGGAACTTCCCAAGAACTGCTTCTCGCTTCCTTATTCCTAAATCAAACAGCTTCACGATGATAAGTATTTCAGAATTTTAATTTTAATTAAGATGCGCTACTTATTACCATAGAAATCATAGCTGATTCAAGTTTGCTTAAAGTATAGACAACTCCTTAAGTGAATTATCAGTAACTATATCTTTGCTTGAAGTATTGGACATGATACAGACAAGTTGCACGAAGACAAATTTGCTAATAAGCGTTGTCAAATATATAAACATATCGAACACTGATCAGTTTGGCCTTCTTCCAATAAAATTTATGCTTATACAACTGCGCCCAATAACGAATTCCCAGCGCCTTCCAGAATGTCAATTGCTAGTCACTTCTCTTTGCCCAAATGGCCTAAACAGCCATCTTCCTCTTACTTGGCAGCGCACAGCCAAGGCGCCAACTCCCTTGGCTAATACCTCCACAACACATCTATACAGCTTCTCAGCCTTACAAAAGGAGGCAATCTTATGTTGGGTTTACTTGGAAAACAGATTCTGCTGTCATATTCTGTTAGCGATACGATACTGCCCCTTGTTAAAGAATAAATACAACTATATGCTAAAAGATGCACGAATAATGCACTAAGTCTACTGGATGACTCAAGCAGCCATAGGTGACTTAAAAGATTTCATGTTCTAGACCTGCCCCACAGAAATAGATAAATTTGTAAAGTAGGTAAATATATGGATTGATTTTATTGGAGCCCACGCCATGTAATATTATTGTTAAATATGTCTTTATTGTCCAGTATAGTACAGATTGCAAATAAAAACAGCAAAATTAAAAAAAATAATAAATTGTTTAAAGTAGATTAAACTTTGACATTCAAGTTTACCACGAACCTTAACATGATAATGAAAGTCTACTATGGATATCATTCCACAGATATTCGAATATTTGAAGAAAACTGTAAATGACCTTAGAATCGGCTTTAAAGTAAACTTGATAATTGAAAATTAATAATTTTATTATAGGTATTTGACACAAGGTTTAACAATAACTTGACAATCAGATCTAAGCCACTCACTTTAATTAAATTGTATTCAAAAAGCAAGTTGCAAGTCTTTTAGGCCAAACTTTATTATTGGAGCTAAATGAAGATATTTTATGTATTTAGCACCGACTTTAACAGGAACTTGACAATCATATCTAAGCCACTCACCCTAATTTAATTGTATTCTTAAAGCAAGTAACAAGTCTTTTAGGCCAAACTTTACTATTGAAGATTTATTTTTAAATAAGTCACTTTAAGTACTTAACATAAACATTAACAGGAACTCGACAATCTGATAAAAGCCACTCACTTTAATTTAATTGTATTCAAAAAGCAAGTTACATGTCTTTTAGGCTAAACTTTATTATTGAAGATTTTTTAAAGAAGACACATTTATTATTTAACACAAACTTTAACAGGAACTTGACAATCAGTTCTAAGTCAAGTACTTTAATTTAATTATATTCATAGAGCAAGTCCTTTAAAGTATCAAATGACATTTGTCTCATTTTATTTTACACCCATCCCCATCACCTGGTTTCCTCCTCTTCTCAACACACCTTCTCACTATTTCTTTTGCACAGGTGCGCATGGTATGCAGCAACAATCGCAAATACATCAAGAACTTGGATATCGTGCGCAAATGTGGATGCACCAAGAAATGCTACTGACTGAAAGATGCGACTACCCAATTGCTTATACAAAGCAATAGCAGCTTAGATGTTAGTTTAGGAACACAATTAAACTTAACTTATAATATGAGTAATATTGATAATGGTAATAACAATAACAATAACAATAACTATAATAATAATAATAACGATAATAGCAGTAGAAATAGTAGCAGTAGCAGTAGTATTAACCTTAGTCTTAAGCCGCATAGCAGTAGATTTAATAGCACGGGGCAGCAGCAACTGGGCGTGGCTGCTGTTGACCAGAGACAGGAGGCGGTTTCGGGCGAGGAGGGCTATGCTGTGGAGGACGCTGAAGCGGACACAGAACGCATGCAAGCGGACCTCCATGGCGATGATGTAGACGATGATGATGATGATGATGATGATGACGACGACGACGACGAGGGGACGAGCTTATTTGCAGATGATGACGATGATGAAGATAAAGATGAGTATGATGAGGATGACGAGGAGCCGGAGCAGTTGCCCGATCCCAAGAGTCTTATCTCAGCTGCTGCACAGCAACAGCCACCACCAGATGAAGAGGAGGATATGGGCTATGATGAGGACGATGAGCGTCTGGCCTTGGAGCGGCCGCGGACAGCTCGTCCGCGTGCCGATGAAGAGCATTTCGTGAACGAGGAGGGCAGCGGCGCCGGCGCCGGCGGCTACAAGGCGCGCTTCAGACCCAGCAATAGCTACAGACAATTGCATCTGGAGAACATACGCAAGAAGCTGCTCACGGAGAGCCAGCAGCAGGAGCCAGCCGTGGCGGTGGCCGTGCCGAGCACTGCGATTGATCTGCGCGAGAGCAGCGGCCATTTTGCTAACGATGATGAGGATGGCGAGGATAACGATGACGGTGTCGATGATGAATACGCTGGCAATGACGATAGCGCTGGCTTCTTTGCGTCGCAGCGCTCGAAGAGCAGCTCCGGTTCGAATCATTATTTTCGCAAGAATAGCAATGATGCGATCAAAATTATATCGACGCCGCTGGGCAAGGTGGGCATTGTCTATCAGCAGACGCCCACCGATGCCGATGGAGCCCAGCAGCAGCATCAGCTGCATGCGAACAAACAGCTGGAACAGCAGTCACAGCAGAAGCCAGCGACACAGTTTACGGATTTCGATGCCTTGTCACCGGATCCGGAGAGCAGTCATCGTTTTCCATCGCCACATCCGAAAATAACGCCCGTACTAACACCCGATGGCAAGGTGGCGCTGCTTTATCGCGGTGATTCGGAGAGCTCCAAGTACGAGCCCATACGCAATCTGACGCACAAGTTCACCAGCTCCAATGCCAAGTCAGCGTCCGAGCCGGTCAAAGCGAGCAGTGACGACTCCTCAGACGACTCCTCCGACGATTCGGTCTACACGGACAGCGAGGATGAAAGCGCGGGCGATAAACCAGTGCCGGCTTCGACCTCGTCTGTGACGCCCAAGCCGCTGCAGCCTGAGATACTGGAGCCGCCGGCCCATGCGCCAAACGGTGGCAGCTTTATAATACGACCCACCTCTGACTCGCTGCTGCCCATGATTAATCGGCCATTGTCCGAGGTGCTGGGCATCAAGAAAAATCAGTTCCAAGAGACGCGCGTGCGCGACCAGCTGCCCATGTTAGCCGTCACTGAGGCAACGCCTCGCTCTCTACTTGCTCAGCCTGCACAGCAGACCGAGCACAAGCCGAGCAGCGGTCTGCATTTCCTCACCAAGGTCAACCTGGCCGAATACCCCACATCCAAGCAGCAGTCGCCGCCTTCACTGGGCCAACTGCCCACAGGACGTGACTTCGACTTTAGCCTGGATAATACCATGCTGGATGAGAGATCGCGTGTGCGTGAGCTGGAGCGGCAGCGAGAGCGTGAGCGAGAGCATAATGAGGCCACCAGCAAAGGCGGGACCGAGGCGCACACAATTGCCAACGAGCAATTGCTGTCCAAGACGGAGGTGATCAACTTGGCCATAATACCGCAATTCAATGAAGACATGGAGAGTTTGCAGCGCCTGCATGAGAGCGGCGGGCTGGGCGGTCGCCGGCACCATCGCACGCGGCATCGCCACAAGCAAACAGACGAAGAACTGTCCGGCATCCACTGCGTCATGCAGGTCATGATGGGCATTGCGGCCGTATCCACAGTCTTTGGAATGCTGGGCACCTTCTTTAAGCAGCGCATTCTGGATCAGCTGCGTCTGATGCACTGGTAGTACAACAAAGGGTATTCGATCCGCTTCGAATACCTTCCCAAACCCAATCCGAACGCAAATCCTCGAGCGAAACAAGTCTCATCAGTAACACGACCAACTTTACCACCATCATCATTATCATCATCATGTCACCTTTATTATGTTATTATGATCTACTATTCTGATCTATTCTGACTACTAGCACAGGAGGCAACACTTTCCCCCTTTAATACTACTACTAATGCGCTCACTATATGGCCTCCACATACATACATACATACATATACTCATATATCATATGCCATATTTATATATACACATATATACTCTCTATTAGGTAGAACTGGAAAGCTGTCGTCCGTTTTAGATACTGTTCCCCAAGTTCATATAACTTAACTCCAAATATTGTTGACAACTGTTAATGCGATGTTAACTTCTTAACAGCTGCAAATGTTAGAGCAATGTGAAACAAACTGTTAACATAACTACATAGCTACAGTTGTGTGCTATACTGAAGACTTTTATTGTAGTCACATTAACAGTTGCTGTTACTGTTAACACCACACTGTTAACTACATAGCAGCAGTTGAGTCCTATTCTAAAGGCTTCTGTTGTCGTCACATTAACAGAATGTATTATGTACTTTCACGATTTCCAGTTCTGCTCTCTATATTCACACATACATATATCAACTGATGCATATATCGAAAATACAATATTTATGCAAACTCTATTTTTTGTCACTAGAAGCGTCCCTGCTTTTACGTTTTCCCATACTTCTAGTATACTTCCGCTTCTTTATATATAATATATATATATTTATATATACAATATTTATATACTTACTAGCAAGCTACCCAGGCGATGTACATATAAAAGCACACTATAACTGAACCACTCGACTATATGTATATGAACGCAACTGTAGCCCCTGCCAAAAAAGAGCAATGGAACTCTTTCCTGACTTTTCCTCCCAACTTGTTTTCGTATTTCCAAATCTTTTTTCTCCTTAATGTCAATTTAAAAACCATTCACACACACACACACAAGTTTGAGTGTACAAGCTTTAAGCAAGTCATTGCATGTGCCACGCCCACACCGCTAACGCACGCCCACAAATATATACCCCGCCCAACAAAGAGAAATAACAGCAAGAAAAAGAAGAAGCATATAAGAACATTCCCCCGTCTGCGCACCGTCAACGAGAATGAATTGTAGTAACAGTTTCCTTTTGTAGATAGAATACAGTTGTTTAAAGATTTGAAACGATAACGATAACCGATAACCGATAAAACAATGAAACGATAACACGATACACAAAAATTCAGCTGCACGCCACAATATGTAACGGTCGTTTTAAACGGGCCGCACACTCAAAGATACGAGTAAAAACGGTAATTATAATAATCTGCGTGCTTAACGAAATTCTGTTTAAGTTAGTAAGTTGCTCAACAACAAAAACGAACATAAAAACAAAAACAAAAACAAAAACAAAAACTAAAAACAACAATAAGCAAGCAAAAACGGAAACAAAACCAAGAACAAAAGCTTAACGAATTTTCAACAATTGTTGCAAAGTGTTTTTCTAGCATTAGTTAACAAATAATATTAATTGAATAATAATAATAATAATTATAATAATAATAACAATAATATTAAATGTAACTAAATGTGTGCTAAACGTAACTAACGTAACTAACAAACGAAAAGCAAACAAACTAAAACAAAGTAAAGAAAATCCTAAACATAAATCGGATAACAAACATCTAAGCTGGGTAGTCGCATGTAAATCTCTAACAATTAACAATTACCAACCTAAGTTAGACCTAATTAAATATTATAAAAGATATAAATGAAAACAAATTACGAATTGCATTTAAAAAACCTACACCTAAACCTAAACCTAAACCTATATATAAATATAATTATTTATACTAATCTAAATATATATATGTATGCAGTATGTATGTATAACTCTATGTATGTAAAATGTTTTTGTCTATTTTTCACTATTTATATATATACATATACTATATACGACATATACTATTTGTAAACGTACGCGTTCGCCTTTATTTCGTCTACACATTTGTTTAGTTCTGTCTTACGATTATATTTATATACATGTATCTATGTATGAACATATACTACATATATTTTTATTAATGTATAACTATGCGCACTAATTATATGCATATTATTGTGTATGTATAACCAATTGAAAATTAAATGTGTAATAGCTGTTGCTAAACGTTAACTTGAGTTCCGTTTTTATTATTATAAATTGTAATTGTCATTATTATTGTTTTCCCGGTTTTGCCCAGAGGCGAAAATTCATGGGCAAAACCAACAACTCATAAAGAAAGTTCAAAAAGAAAATCAAACATTTTCGACATTACATTGTAGGCATAACGAATGCTTTGATTTCTCTGTGTGTAATATTTATTTGATAATAAAAATTATAAATATGTTTAATAAGACCTTGGACTTTTTTCTACCCTTTAAAAGAACGTACCGCTTTTTATATTATTTATGAATATGCGCATTCATGAAGTGAATGACAGTATTTAATTGATTTGAGTTGTGTCCAGCACTTAACTTAATATTTAAATACTCCATTGATCAACGATGTAATTATATGTCGACACTTGCTAAAAAATCAAATCTAGAAAACCTCTGTCTTCTACGGTTGTACAGACAAAAGCTCACTTCATTTCCTCATCATATATATTGCCTCCAACAGGCCTGCCGAATCAAAAAATACCATATCCTTCAAAGTTTTTTGCTTGACCAAAAAAGATTCAATTATTTTCAGACCGTGAATGATTATTATGAGCTAAACAATAAAAAGCTTCTAATGAATGTTTAAAAAAATCCAAAAGTTTAACTATCAATATGGCGAGTTCGTAGATATTTGTAAAACTTGTTAATCTCACTGCATGCGCTGCAAATCAATGCGTTCGGTATTGATCTGAATATTGACAAATCGGGACAGTTGCTGCAACTCAACAATATTCCGTTCCTTAGTCGCCATTTATGACATATAAAGTATGCAATAAATTTTGTATTTTTAATCTAACTGACGTCATTTCTTGTCAAGTGAAATTGTGTTCAAGTGCCACAATAAGCTTTCCCTGAAGGGTATGCTATTGTTTTTCGCTATCTTCGTCGGCATTCTGGTCACTTCTGTTTACCTGGTATTTGAATTAAATAAAAATCTAATTACTAATTACCATTGAAAATGAGATTAAACTTATGTTTATAGATAGATAATTAATTTTATTCAACGCCATGCACATTTTTATTCACTGTACAAAGACAAACGTTTCGGGGACATTTCATCGATAGGTCATAAAAGAGGATCTGTGAAATAATAATACAAGTTATTAATCAGAAACCCACTTTGGAAGAAACGAGTTTACTTACCCGCCATAGCTGGACTTCTGGTTGTTCGGATTGCTCGTTTGAGCCAAGTTGCCAAAGGACAGGCCCGTGTCGGTGCCGCCGAGCGTTTCGAAGATGTTACCCTCTGGCGGTTTAGTTGGTGCACCAAAAGCTGGCGGAGCTACGGCTCCGGGGCTAGCTCCAAACGAGCCGAATCCCTTAGGACTTCCGAATGTCGGTGCGCCACCAAATGTGGGACTGGCACCAAAAGCGGGACTACCGCCAAACACAGGCTTGGCGCCAAATGCACCAGCCGGCGGTTGGGTCTGCTGCTGTGGAGAGCCAAATCCAGATTGGGCCACAGAACCGGCACCGCTCTGGCCAAACACGCCAGCACCAAAAGCGCCAGGAGTGGGAGTTGTTTGAGCAAAGCTGCCAAAGCCACCGGAACTGCTGGCCCCACCAAAGATGGAGCCTCCAGGCGAGGATGCATTGGCAGCGCCACCAAATATAGATCCGCCACCACCAAAGCCCGATGGTTGGGGCTGAGCAGGGCTAGCACTACCAAACATATTCCCTCCACCAGATGTAGCCGTTTGACCAAAAACACTCTGCCCAAAAATCGTGCCTGAGGGCGCAGCAGCTGGGGAGCTTTGTACGTTATTGTTACCGCCGCCAAAAATGGAGCTGCCGCTGCTAGCACCGCCGCCAAAGACCGAAGGACTGACAGTGCTGTTACCACCACCGAAAATGGAGCCTCCACCTGCAGCAGGCGAACCAAAGCCAGTGGGCTTAATAGCTGCAGCTTGCCCAAAGATGCTACCGCCGGTGGCAGCTGTAGCAGGTGATGCGCCAGCTGCACTGCCAAATGGTGAGGGATTGCTTGTAACAGCTGCTGTTGCAAAGAGACCGCTGGGTGGAGCAGCTGCGCTAGTAGCGAACACGCTCGCCTCCGGCTTTGGCACGTTGCCAAATATGTTGCCCGTCGGCGGTGAAGCAACAACAGCTGCATTAGGAGGAGTTGCTCCAAATGGACTGCTGACCGATGTGGCGAGGGCAAAGGCATTCGGAGCACCGAAAATTGAACCAGATGTGTTGCTCGTCACGGACGTAGTTGAGCTCGTAGTTGTTACAGAGCCACTAGGTGCTCCACTTGACGCGCTTAAGCTGCTAAACTCATTCGAGAAGGAAAAGGTGGTGCCTATTGATGCGGTTGTGGAAGATGCTGCTGTGGTGGCGGCGCTAATGGCTGGCGCTGCAGCTGTAGCTGTAGTTACTGCAGCTGTTTCTGAGAGCGTTGTTGTAGCTGGTGTTGTTGTTGCTGGCGTTGATGTTGGTGGCGATGTAGCTGCAGCTGCAGCTGTAACTGTAGCTGTTGTTGCTGCTGCAACAGGAGCCACTCCTGCAGATTTAGCTGGTGTTGTTGATATGTTGCCGTCTGCAACGGTAGAACTGACTGCTCCACCAAATAAACTTTTGCTAGCATCGCCTCCAGCAGAAAGACCTGGAAAAGTGCTAGTGGCGCCTTGCCGAAAGCCGCTAAAGATGTTAGTCGGTGCAGGGACTGTAATTAGAAGATAAGATTAACAAACGTAACCTATAATTATGATATATATAGAGAATGCACTTCTACTGACCTGCTGCGTTATCCTTAGTCTGCGGCTTACATATGTTCACTGAGCCAAATAAATTGTCAATGGGAGTAGCACTGCTAGTGGTAATAGACGCAGCTGATGAAGTAGTGGTGGCTGCGCTACTGGATTTGCCTGTACCGGTAACTGAAGTGGGAGCAGCAACGGTAGTTGTTGCTGTCACACCAGGTGTAGCTGTTGGAGCGACTGTGCTGCTGTTGCTGACCATAGTATCCACGCTGCTTGCAGTGGTTGTCGTGGTTGCAGCTAGAGTAGCAGCTGCAGGTGCAGCTGTAGTGACAGCTGTTGGCACGGTAAAGGGTGTTGGGCTGCTGCCCAATGAGGCGCCAAAACCCCCAAAACTAAAGGTCGAACTACCGCCGCCAATGCTACTGCCCGCATTGCTGCCAAAGCCCGCAAAACTGAAGGGCTTGGCGGCTGGCTCTGTTTTGACCGCGGAACCGCTTGGTGCTGAGGTCTTGGCAGGCTCTGCGGCTGCGACCGCAGTTGCTGTAAGATCCACAGGCGGTAGCATATCCTTTTTAGCCTCCACAGGCTTCACAGTTACGTCTTTGGGTGGTGTTGGTGATGGCTTAGGCTTGATTGATTCTACATTTATATTGCCAAAGCCGACAAAGGGAGAGGGTGCAGGCGCAGCGCCAGTCTGTGACTTGGTCGTCCCACTTAGTTCACCAAAAGGCAGCATGGGCTTAACACCACCAAAGCTAAAAGGTGCGCCGCCTCCGGCACCAAAAAATGATGCTTTGGGCTGTACAGCCTCGCCAGTGCTCACCGTAGTTGTGGTCGCAGTCGATGCTGTAGTCTTAACAAATGGACTGCTCTGGCTGAAGCTGAAAGGTGCTGATACAGGTGCCAAAGCTGGTGCTATGGCAGGCATGTTCTGTGTCTTCTCCCCGGCAGCAACAGCTGATGGTTTGGAGGCAGTAGGTTTGGCTAGCTGTGTGGGCGCTGCAGGTACTACCTGCGTTGACTTATGTGCCACAGCTGGCTTAGCACGTGTAGTAGCAGTTGTTGCTGCAGCAGCTGCTGCCGCTTCTTTCTGTTTCTTAAGATCCGCTTTGCGTTTTGTCTCTAGAATCACCTCCGATTTGAGCCCCACACGGTCAGGTCTCTGTGGACTGATGATGTGCACATGGTGCTGTTGCAGCAGCTGGCGTATACTTTGCAGTTTCTGCTGTGAGAGTTTGGCGCGATTCGAGTCCACCGCCTGGTTTAAGGTCATGGAGAGTATGGAGTCCGCTAAGGTGTCGATGCTGTGGTGGAATCAATAGGTTAATGAAAACTATTATCATTCTTTATATCATATACTCACGCTTCGTTAGTACGATTGCGACTGGACTCCTGGTTAAGAAGTGCGGACTGCAGCAGTCCACGCTCCTTTAACTTGGATTTTATGTTGTTCTGCAGAATACGCTGGTCGGAGGTCAGATTTTGCAGGCGTGTCAAACGCTGATAGATGCCTTCCAAGCAGGGCATATGCATTTTTGACTTGCTATTGCGACGCAGCACATCCTGGTACTGTTCCCACTGCGCATCAATTTGTTGCTGTACCAGCTGCAGCTGCGCCTCATTGGCAGCCAAATAGCTCTGCAGACGAGATAGTAAACGACGCCCAGCTGCATCAAAGTTTGTGGAAGTCATCAGCCGAGTTATACTGATTAAACGAGATGTACGTATTACGGATTACAGATTAGTATAGTAAGTACTATTCAATCAAATTAGACCTGGACTGGTCCACTTTCTACAACTATACCTCGACAGTTAAATTGTTTATGCTACTTACTCTGGTTTCCTGAAAACCTCCAGCTTTGCACGACAATCTGCGATCATGACATAGGCCTCGCTTAGCGCATGACGCAAACCTTGAACGTCCAGCTCAAAGTCTACATCATTGGCCTGATCGTTTAGCTCCTGTAGATCCTCCAGACGCTTGGCATAGGATTTGATGGAAGATGGCGACTCAATCTAAGCAAGTTTCACTTTTTTGTAATAAATATAACAGAGAGATGCTTGAGACTAACCTGTGCTAGAAGAGCTCGAGTCTGCTGCTTTTGCTGTTCGATTTGATCACTAAAGGCGCTGATCTGCACATTCATGATCTCTACTATCACATCGTCCACTTCGCCAGAGCTGAAGTCTGAACTCTTGGCCACAGGCGGCGGCGGCTTTGGGACAATTGAAGCATTGGCAGCGGGCGTGAAAGTCGGGGGCACTGTATATAGTGGTTTGCTGCTGTTGTTGGCCTTATTAGTAGTAGGTGCAGCTGGTGCTATAGTCTGAGGCGGTTGCTGTGTCGGAGCAGGAACAGCTGTCGCCAAGTTGTTAAAGCTGGGTGCATTGTTGCCAACTGGTAGGTTAAACATAGATGATGATGCCGCGGTTGCATTGTTGCCAGCGGCAAAGCCACCAAAGCTAGGTGTCGGCATTGTATTGGCTGCAGTCCCGCCGAAGTTAAGCGAAGTACTGGCAACACTTCCAAAAGCAGGCGGCATTTTATTAGCCACGTTGCCAAAGCCCGCAAAAACCGAGTGTGGCTTCTCCTTCATGGGCGCTGGAGTCGACGTCACTGTATTAGGTGTGAAGGCAAAGGATATATCTTGAAGGGCAGGCGTACTGGCCTCCACTGGGGCTGCAACCGCTTGGGGTGCAACTGCTGCTGTCTGCTGCTCAGCGCCCAGCAGCGTATCTAATGCACAAAAGTTTTCTGAAGTGTCTGCCAAAGGCGGCGGCGGAGAGCAAATGGAAGCAACGCCAGGTTGTAGATTAAGAAAATTGAAGGTAAGCAAAGTGCCGTCAGTGCCCAGGACATGAACCATGGGCATGGTGGGTAGTTGTTGTTCATTGATGCTAAGCTGATGTGTGCTGGAGGTGTCGAAGGCAAACCCATACGGAAATGTCTCTTCCTGCGTAGCTTCACTCAATGGTAGCTCAATCCGCGCCTCATCAAGTAGTGTTAATTGCTGCCAAGTGGGCGTGTCACCCGCCTCCGTGGTACCCAGTACTCCAACCTCCACGCCGTTTGCTGAACTGAGCAAGAGCAGATTCCACTGAGCCACATGTGTGAAATGAAACTGATGATTACGTGGTCCATTTAGACTATAGCAAATGTCGTAGTAGTTTGTATAGGTGGGCGCCCCCGCCTTGGGTGCATTTATGATATACAAAGCTGGATTGCAGTCCTCGCCATGCTGCAGGAAGACTACAGCAAACTGAAATGTGGACAGCCAGTGCACAGCAATTATATCGAAGGGACCATCGTGCAAATTGGTCGGGCAAGCCAGTGTCTTGGCGGGTGTTAGATCCGGTTTGAACTGCTGCAAACGACCACACAATCCAAGCACTAACTGCTTTCCCTTTGGTGACCAGCAGCCGCATTTAACCTGATTGGTCTTGTCCAGCGAGTGCACTTCAAAGTTGCCCCCATCCTTTAGTGCATACATTGTCAATCCACCATTGCTAAGCACCACGGCCAAACTGTTTGGAAGCACAGGATTCCACAGCAGCTGCAAGGTATGGACATTATCCTCAGGAGCTAATCTTATATTGTACACGATGCGCAGCTCTGGGCTCATAAAAGATTGTACAGCATATATAGACAACATGCTGTTCCCATTCGGCTGAGTATAGTTAATAGCCAGCAGGTTTCCATCGGCGCTGCATGATATACAGTTGGGAGTATTAGGTAGACGGACGAGACGAGTTAATGGCTGTTTTCCGCTAGTCTTGGCGGCAACTATGTCCTTAATGATTATAACTAACAAACACAATGTACTTACGATTAGAATTAACAAGTTTCACGAATTAACAATTTTAGTACACATACCCTTTAATTCTGGCGCGTTGGGATTGCCGGTAAAAAGCAATCCACGACTGCTAGAGACAGCTAGTAAATTCACATTGCTGCGTGGCTCACCACATTTCCGAAATGCCACAAACTTGTCATGCAATTTGAATTGAATCTCCTGCAAATAGCACACTCAGCGAAATTAGCAAATAGTAGGTGAAAACATTTAATAAAAGGGCAATCGGCATACCTGTGTATCTTTACAATTGGGTGCATTTTGCGCCATTTTGTCACGAGTAGTGCTGCTGCTTAGACACGTGCTTTAATAGACACGCTGCAAATATTTCGCAGTAAACAAAACAATTCTTATTCACTTAACCGATAGATATCATTAAGACATTGCATTGATCACATACAAATTATATATAAATAAAAACTAACCAAATAAATTCACAAGCTTCGTGTCGCTTATGGAACGCACAACAACTGATGGCACTTAAACTAATATCGGTAACTATCTGTACTATCGATAACTATGAATAAAATAATCCGGGTCGCCTTTTTCACGGATAAAATGCATTAACTAAGCTTTAAATATGTTTACTATTTATTTAATTCAGATGAAGTTATATCTATAAATGTATGCGAGGAATATGAAAAAATTTAAAATCTGTAAAATTCTGCTTGTTGGCAGTACCGTGCAACAGCTGTTGCTTAATTCATATCGAAAATCGATAGTACATAGCTGTAGTTTTTGCGACATACACACATCTCCAGCTGTGTTGTTGTTTGTCTGTCTCTGTCTGCGTTTTTGTTTAACAAAAGCATTGTTCGCGCGCGCAATGCTGAAAAAAGGAACTGCATGAAGTAGATGAAACGAAAATCAACAAAAAATGTAGTTAAAGCTATTGAGCAATTATTTAGAGGAATGCTGCGCAACACGGTGCTACAGTATTGTTGTTATCGTTGTAATTAGCAAACACAGAATCACAGCAACCAAAAGAAAAAGCATAAAGCATCGTAAATGTCAAAATTTGTATGTCTTAAAACGAGTACACATTAAAACTGAAACGGGCTTAAGTAGAACGACTGCAAATTAGGTGAGTGATTGTGCAAGAGAACTTAAAGACCAAGGTAAGCTCCAGTCACAGAACGCTGCTAATTGACGAACAATCGCAAGTTCCTTTACATGTAATTGAATTTTCATTGTCTCTACGCGACAGCAACGACAGACGCAATAGCAAAAGCAGCGCCTCCGCCACCGCCAGAAGCAAAACAGCGTCACAAAGGACGCTCAAAACTTTCAATATGATCAGCAGCTTGTTTTCACGGCTAATAATGTGAGTAAGAAACAAATAAGAATCAAGTTCTATTACTTGCTTTGGCATTCCGAAGATTGAATACTCTTGCAAGCGTGTGTGTGAACTGTGTTATATTGTTTTACAACTGAAAATTGAAGTTGATCTATTAAAATAACAAAAGTAATATGAAAGCATCTAAATAGTTAATAATCCTTTATAATTCTTCATTATTGTTATTAACTTTTCAACCGGGCTTTTTTCAAATTAATTAATTTACAATACCTTAAGCTAAATAATTTATTTTATTTCTTATATATGAACGTTTTTTAAATTTTCCAATAACAAACGACATAACTATACGTATGTAAAAAGAAAAGGTTACTAAATATTTGTGATGACTTGGCTAACATACTCCTTGCAAGAGTATATTTGTATATGCATATGTATGTCTCTTTATGAGGCCAGCAACTACACCAACACACACGCACGAATGCGTAGTCACTATCGTTGTTGTTGTTATTGCTGACCCCCAAAAAAAAAGAAAAAGAGCTTGTGAGCGAGCAAAACTCTTTTCTTTTTTTTTTTGTTGTTGTTTTCAAATCGAGTTATTGGCCTTGCCTCCGTAGTTCGCTTAATTTGTTTGATTCTGCTTCCTAATTGGGTGGGCGTTGTGCTGTGATTTTTCGAGCGTTACCGTCTTTTCATTTATTTTGTTCATCATGGTTGCTAGTGAATCAATTTTTTTATTAATCAGCGTCAGAAATTACCGTTAGCCGTTGTGCAGCGTCAAAGTCAATATTAGCGGGCGCCTTATAAGGCTTTCAAAATCAGTGTGCGTGTGTGTGTGTGTGCGTGCCAGTGCGAGGTTGACGCACTCGTCCGCCATGCATACGTATATATAGCCAGCTCAATGGAGGCCAGTCTAATGTTCCACTCGCCGAATGATTTTCTGCCGGCCAGATCTCCATGAAAACACTGCTGCTTTTGTTAATATTTTTAGCGCTTCCAAGCGCTGATCAGCTAATAGATTCCGATTCCAATTCCAATTCCAATTCCGATTCCGATTTGAAATCAGATTCACTTTTTCTCCTGTAGAATTTTTCTCGCTCACATTTTGGGGGCAGTGTTTGCTGCAATAGAGCGCAGCAGCTGGCTGTTGCTGTGCTATTAATAGTAGAGCATTCTGTGTTACGGGGAGCATTAGACGCTCTCTGGTGGAATCTGTCTGAATAGTCTTTGCGCGTCGTTTTAGCTGTTAGGAACGACGCATTATTTGCTCTGGTGCTCGGCAATGCGTGAGCCATGAGCCGGCCCAGCTATCTGCAGGAGCAGCTGCTCTATCAGCCGCAGCAGCAGCTACGGCCGCGTCCGGCTAATATTAAATACCTACGTCACCAGGCACAGCCCCTATACGGACGCAGCTATTCGTTAGAGGAGCAGCAGGCAGCTGCTGGCCATTATGTGCCTGTGTACTCAAAATTTATCTATCCACCACAGCAGCTAGAGCAGCTGGAGTTGCAGCGACAGCTCGGCCTGCACGATTCGGTTAACTCTTTGAGCAGCGATTTCACAGACTTCGACTATGAGGGACCCTACATTGTAGAGCAGCCAACGGCAGGAGACGCTGCTGCGCCAGTTGCCGGCTCCAATGTGGTGCAGAACTTGAATGCCCTGGGCCGTTTCTTAGAGCTTCTACAGCGCTGGCCACTGCCGCGTCTATCTTTCAATACGGCCTGCATTTGCTCGCTCATCATTATATTTATAGCGCCTCGCACTTGTGCACAGAGTTTATTGTTTCCCGCTTTCAGATTGTTCTTCGGCACTCTATATCCGGCCTATGCCTCCTACAAGGCGGTGCGTACAAAGAATGTCAAGGAATATGTAAGTATGATACTAAAACTAACTATTAGGAATATAAGCTATAATGTCACAAATGCAATATTCAAATATTATTAATAGCTTCATGTATACAACTGAACTCTTACTCTTTAAGAGGCGGACCACAAATATCATATTTTATATATAGTCTCACATATCTGACTTTGTATATAGGTCAAGTGGATGATGTACTGGATTGTCTTTGCATTTTTCACATGCATTGAAACATTTACGGACATATTTTTATCATGGTTCCCTTTCTACTATGAGGTCAAGGTGGTAATTGTCTTGTGGCTGCTATCGCCAGCCACAAAGGGTAGCTCCACTTTGTATCGCAAATTCGTGCATCCCATGCTGACACGACGTGAACAGGTGCGTTCTGATAAATATATTTAAATACATGTATACTCTCTCTCTCGGTCTCTTTCATATTAATAAAGCTCTCTTTGTTTTGGTTTGGAACAGGAAATCGATGAGTATTTGAATCAGGCACGCGAGCGTGGCTATTCAGCGGTTCTGCAGTTGGGATCAAAGGGTGTTAACTATGCCACAAACGTCATCATGCAGACTGCCATAAAGGTAACTCGAACAAAAGCAGCAACACACATGTAATATACACACACACACACACACACATTTATCACATCACATCACATCGCATCACACACACACTGAAACGCACAACCAATTCATCTGGCACATTTTTCAATTGCTTCCACAACAATTTGCCACCAGCGTCGTTGCATAAAATGAAATGAGCAACAAACAACAACAGTCGCCGCCTCAGCAGCAGTCTCCGCCGGTTAAGAAACGCCTCAATTTCTATATAGAAAATGCTTGCGCAATGTTTTTCTTTTCGCTCAGCGAGCCCCGTTCGGTGCTCATTTCTCATCATCAACAACAACAATAACAACAGATCTTCATCAAGAGCAACTCTCGAGCAGCGGCCGCGTGCCAGACTCGCGACGACTTCGTCATCAGCATCATCATTTGTTTCATTGTTTTCATTAACTTTAAATATCATTTAAACAAACAAGTAGAAAATACTACGATGTATGTTCGAACCTGTGCCATATGTTGTGTCTGTTTTGTTTTAGTTGTAAGTTTTTAGTTTGATTTCATATGTATTCAGCGCTTTCTAGAAATAGGCTTAAAGTTAGTGAGATTAAAAGCTTTGTGGATACACAAAAATTAATAAAAATGCCCAACATTATATATATATAGTATACATATATGCATATATAGTAGATTATCTAAATGTAGCACAAAATTGGGTCTTAATATCGGAATCAAGCAAAATGTTGCCGTAGACCTAATAATGTAAACAACATTTCATATTGCAATAAATTTTGTTTAGATGTTGTTTGTTGCTGATGTTGTTGATGTTGTTGCTTGCAGATGTTTATAAATTTGTACAAATTTACGTAACTCTACTATTTCAAGTGGGCTTCGCTTTTTATAAGGAAATTGATTCAGTTCTTGTGGCTTCTTGCATACAAAGCGCATTAATCATCAACTTTATCGCCATGTGCAGGTCTTTGTGGTCACACACAAAGCACTAGACATATATATATATATATATATAGGTATTATATATACTTCAGAGTCTGTTTCTATATATGACAGAGCATTTCTTTGTTGGAGGACAAACTGCGTCCAGTAGCAATGCATGACGAGAAGCCACAGAATGTATATATATATAAATATATTTCCAGCACTTCGTTACTAAAACTCAATATATATAACCTTAATATATGATACTAAATCACATTGCTTAGTTATCTGAAGATATGATTTATTTTTCTACTATATTTCTTATCTTTATTGGAAATCTTATCGTATGACCAAACTGTGCAACAGGCCTTAACTTATTTTCTTATTAAAATCTAAATGTCTTAATCGTTGCAATAATATTGCGTAACTAATGTCTTAATTTTAAGCCAATCCGAACTCTCTTTTTTAAGCTACTAAAACTTTTGTGATTTGGTTCATTATTATGAACATTTTATTCAGTTATTCATTTATTTTTAGTAAATATTTCATCATAGCTTGAGTGTGATTACTGAATGATTGTTTCAAGGTTTTAACATGTGGATTGCACAAAACTCAATACTGTTTAGATCTAGTATGTAAAGCTGTATTATAACAGTTTGTATTAGTATTATCAAATTAACTTTTTCCTGCTACCTTGTTCAGTATTCAATATATTGTTTCTACAAATGCATACCCATTCAGTTAGAACAATTACGTATTCTATTTCAAGCTACATATATGTATATATATGCAGCAATTGCAGCGCCTCTAGGGGTAGGGCATATAAATAGCTGGGGGATTGGCATGTGCCCGACCAATTCAGACTGCGACAACTCGTTAGCCAAGCTAAGAGAGAGATTGTGTGTGTGTGCGTGTTTCTGCATCTGCATCTGCTGCCCTCCTTTTGATTGCACTTTGTTTTCATACATATATTTATTTTACACTCACTGCGTTCGCCTATTTTTATTAACTATGATTTTTTCCTATTTTGGGTTTCTCACTTATGTTTCTTTGCATTTGACTTACAATTAAAACGAACCACACCTGCACACCTGCAAACCTGCAAACCTGCAACGCCTGCCAATACTAACAAATCGCCACGCGTAGACTATTCAGCTGGCTTCACCTACAGCGGCCGATGTGCACCGCCTGCAAAGCTCGCAGTCGGCTAGCGAGCTCTCGCGGGATCAGGATATGCTGGATGCCAGCGAAATGCTGCTGCCGCGCTCCAACTCGCTGAATGGCTTTGAGAGCTATGCGGATCAGCGCATGGTCATCACAGAGCTGTACGAGGGGGATCTGGCCATGACCGAGCTGGATGGCAATGACGCGGGCGCTGCCCGTCTGCGAGATAGGCCCGTTCGCAAGACCCGGACAACTCGCACAGTCATTGTTAACGGCAAAGACTCTCCACCTGTGTCGAAGCGCACGACACGTGCCGCCTCAAAGAGCAAAATAGCCGACTTGCACTTGGGAGATGGTGCAGTGCGCGGGCGCCGCAAGCTGCGCGATGCCACACCCGATGTGGACGTCGAGGGAGACTAGGAGCTGTTCACATATAAATATATTTATATATAGCAAATCGCATGATACTCAGCATAACGCAAAAAGCACAAAATTAAGCGAATTTCGATTTTTCTGCACACTATGAACAGAGCGACACCTAAGAACGTCGTCATCCGCAGCCACTATATACTAGACACTCAATTGCAGTTATTTTTTAAAATCATCTCTATATATATATGCATATTTTAGTCTGTTTAGTTTGTAATTATATTTTAACTGATAAATACGCAAAATGATGCCAAGCCAAACGTCTCTCTCGCTTTGCTTTCTTCACTTCATGCGTCAAGGGCGGTGGCAATCTGGTGCAGACCATCAAGCGTAGCTACAGCCTGAGCGATCTCAGTGAACCCGATGTTCATCGGACCCAGGACGAGCTCGACGAGGTCATGATGACATCGACTTCATCGGTGATGATGCGCCCACAGCCAACGCGTCTTTTGAGGCAGCGCCATCAGACGCCCGTGGGCCGCTCAGCCAGCGGCACACGCCACTCCACGGGCATGTACTTCACAGAGGTGGACGTTAGCTCCAGCTCAGCGGCGTCGGGCAAGCATGCTGGCGATTTCAAGTGAGTGTTTCAATAGCGCACGATTCTGGTCGAGTGCGTCAATTTAACACGCTTCCATGCGCATCCATTCAGCTACAACATACGCAGCACGGATGACATCAGCTCAGGCTACTCCAGCGCCGAGCCGGTTAGCGCTCCACTCGGCACCGGACTGAGCCGCACCTCATCCATGACAAATGCTTCCAAGGCGCGTGTGAAGTCAAAACGTAACGAGGTGAGATTTCCGCTTAGAATTTAGGTGAATTTACTTTCTATACAGCATTTTCAAAGAATTTTATTTTGATTGCTTATAAAAAGAAAATGTCGAGAAATGTATTGAATATTTTCCTGAAATACCTAGATTTGTACAAACAATAACTGCTGCCCCTTTTGGTAGGTGATGTAACTGCAATTCGAGATATGAAATATTGTCCACGCGAAGCATTTAAGCTTGACCCAAATCCAAGTCTCTAAATGACTGACTGACTCTGGACTGACCAGTAGAATATATTGCCATATTCCAGAAACCGCCCCTCATAAATAAACTATGTAAAATAGCTTTGTTCAAACGGCCCTTGTTAAATCGTAACATCTTAACAAGCGTCGACTCTTAAATTCATACAAAAGCGCGAGATTTGAAACTGGCAATTCAGGGTACAGCATGGAACAGACAGAAGCAGGCGTGGAGCCCATAAAGTATATACTAAACTATATCCGAATGACGGGCTGAGTCGATCTACAGTCGCTTGAGTGTCTGTTCTTCTATCTTTCTTTTATGTTTGTTCTTCGATAACTCGTCCATCGATAAATATCGTTTTCTAAGCATAGCTTGAGTATCGTAAATGTAGAAGGCTTCAGATTTACTGTGTAGGTTCCAGTAATGAATACAGGGATTTTGTTTTTGGACTTTGGACACCACCCCTCAAATTTAAATTCACATATTTCAAATACTAGAGACTAGAGAGAGAGACTAGAGACTGCTTTGGCAAATTCAATAATCTGAATGCCATAATTAACAGCAAGAATAATAGCATAATATTAATCAATGTGGAACAAAAGTTATTCAACAATTAAATGCCTATGGCAAAGCTCAGACTGTCCATAAGCAGAGCGCGTGTTTAGAATGATTAGAACATCATCTAGGGGGCTCAGGGTACCTCGTAGTCGAGTCGAGCACAAGCTCAACTGCTGTCTAAGGCATTTAGGGCCAACTTAACCTGCCTTAGCGAGTTGTTTAACAGTTATTATTGTAATAATTCGATTAGCAAATGCTGGAAGAAATGCGATCTGAGGTGTATTTGGAAAATGAACGTTACTTTGAAATGATGAGAGCACAGCAATCCAAAGAAGTTCAGAGACAAACGCATTTGAAGATTGTGGAGAGCGAAGAAGAGAATGACAAATCCAATGAGCAGCAAGAGGAAGCGGAAGCAGATGAGGATAGCTTCTATGAGGCTATGGATGTGGTGGAGAGCACAGAGACAGCTGACAAGGAACTGCCAATGGGCATGCATGACGAGGCAGCAAATGAAGAGCAAATGGTAACGGAGCAGCTCAACGATACTGAAGATTGCTTTAAGGAAGCCCTTAATGAAGCTCCCAGTGTAAAGGAAATCAATTTGGGCGCCTATCAAAGTAAATCCATGGATACAGAAGACTACAAAGCACTTGTGGATCCCTTTTTATTGGTGGTCACCGAATCTAGCCTTGATACTGCCGCTGAGACAGCAGATTCAAGTGGAGCGCAGCCTGTTTCGCCTCGCGAATTGCTGGCCACGCTGGAGGAGATCAAGCACAGTTTCCGTGCCCAGCTGGAACCGGAGACCTCCCCGCTGCGACCCAAGGCTCAACATGCCAAAGGGCGTGCACCAGCGCCGCCTTTGCCGCCACGCAAGGAGTCCCGTGCAGTGGACAGCGTCAGCCTCCAATCCACGCAGTCGCAGTCTCAATTGGAGCGCAGCAAGTCCTCAGGTATCGGCCATCTATTCAAAAGTATCAAAGATAATGTGCTGCGCAAGGCTAATCAGCAAGCCGATGAGGAGCCCAGCGTCAGCCGCGCCTCAGCTAAAGAAACGTCCATTTGATGTAAGCCGTAGGCCTTAAAAATCCCGTACAGCTCATCCGCTCGTCTCAGCTATCCATTTACTACTCAAACTTCCCTCGTTGCGCACTGTACAGAATCTTGTTTGTCTGTGTTTGCCTTTACTAACAAATGTTTTGCAATTTCAGCATGTGCTCGACTACAATATTATTATAATGCCCATGTCTCATATATTCGATCTGGTTTCTTTCTAGGACAAGTCCATGTCCGCTAGCTGCACCACTTTGCCACGCAGCAGCAGCCGCAAGGACAAATCTCTGCCAACGAATGCCTCAATCCAGGCCAAAGCGCGCAACAAGTAGGAGAAGTAAGGCGCGATCTACCAGATCTGAAATAAATATATACATACATACACATATATATATATATACATATATATATATATATATATATATATATATATATATATGCAGATACATGTAATATCTCTCTTAATTCCTTATGGGAATGTGTTTTCAATAAGTTGCTCGGTGCTCAAATTGGCCAATGTAGAAGGTGGACAGCAGAAGATATATTTGAAGGAAATGGAACAAATGTAAACCTCACTTTTTAGTTAAAATTGTAATTAAATAATAATCGAACTAGTGATTGATACTATGATAATGATAATAACGTACTTTGATTCGTTACCTATTCCCCTACCCCCTTACTACATGGCAAACTTACCTAGCTGATATATATAATAGATTCATTTATGTGATTATCCTATGTCCTGCAGCCAGCTCCTATCACTAAAGAATGATCAAGTAAAGTAATATGATCTATCTCTCTAGTTTAAATTCAATGCATTGTAATTGATAATTCAATAAAACTTAAAAATACACATGTAAATTAATAATAACGGAATTTAGTTTTCGATTTTATGGAACCATTAGGATATCTTATGCCTGGATGCAAATATTTGAATAGAGCTGACAAATATTGTAGCTTCGCTGAAGTGGGGCCTGATCAACGTCATAATACTCTGTTCGGCTGAACATGTTCAGGTCTGATATATAACTTAAGTTTATCTGTAAAGGAGTGGGTACATCTGTGGAATATATAGTTTTTCTCGATGTCCTATAACGGCGTAGATACACTGCTCGTCATCAGGATAGCGCCCCAAAATTCAATTATGAATATCTCGCTAAATTTGGTAATAATAACTACCAAATTGTTTGTGAAGGCTAAGAAATTGAACTGAAATTAAATTAAAAATTAATGATTGATTCTCGGCTACATGAATAATAACCGAAATTCGCTTAAAAAACATTGAAAATTGAAAATTCCAATTTCCGTTTAACAAACTTCATTGAATGAAATCATCATCCTCACACTAGTAATGTCCATAAATCGTCAGAAAAGTTTTTTAAAGTTCTAAAGATTTATTTGAGCAACTGATTAATTACAGAAACTAAAACAATCAAATAAAACCCCACGCAATGAGCCTCGGAGCATAAGACACCTAAATTTTGACCAAGTGCATATGACTTGGTCTTCCCAGTTGAAGTACGTATTTTGTTCAGATGAAAACAATGTAATTTGGAAGAACCGGATGGGCTTAACATTTATTGTAGGATATCCGTAAAGAGGAACATGCCCAAGCGGATTGGAGGTGTGATGGTTGGGAAGCCATTTCTTACTATGACACCTGCAAATTGCACTTAGAGGAGATTTCCAGCACAAACATTTTCGAAGTCATTTCGATTATATCATATTTTAAATATAAGAATTAAACAATTTAATTAAAAAAAAAAAAAACAAAGAAATAAAACTTAGGAAGGAAATATTTTTAGTGTTTTTTTTTTTTACTTTTCCTAAAAATAATGTTTTTTAACATAATGTTAAAAGTTACAGTTGTCACTTTTATTTTATTTTATTTTTTATTTTAAAAAGAATTTATAGAACTTTTATTGATAAATAAATATTGGAGAACTATCGATTGAAAAGCTTAGATAACGAAGTGGGCGCTAACCTGATGACCAGCAGTGTATATACTATATATTTCAGGTCGATCAGTAAAGTAAAACGGTGCAATACATTGTTTTGCCGATTTGCCGCAATGACCGCAGATATAAGAGTTTGGTCTTGGTTTGCGAGTATATATTTGCGAGTATAGTGAGTATATCGGAAATATTGCAAACACCTTACCAGACGAGGCTACTCAGAAGTGCGCAAAACCGATATTCCCGTTCACTTCATGAATAAGTATGAACATAGTCAAGTTCGTCGAAGCTCGCCTTTTGAATAAGTTTTGCATAAGTTTGCATAAGGTTTTTTTTAAGATAAATACATAATACCCAAATTTACAGTACAGTAAATATTCGCCATGAATACCTAATGCATACATATGCATGTGTGGACATCAGTGAAAAGTGTGCACGTGTGCATCTGTGTGAATGTGTATGTGCATGCAGACATTTGTGTGCGTGTGCAGAGATAACTACATATGTTCTTAGTCATCACGCCGGCAATTGAAAATATGTGCGAATTTGACACAACGTACGTATATAGACTTTCCCATTAAAGTGTTGTATAAAAAGCTGGTAATAAATAAATAAATAATATTTAGGTATGCACTCATTTTACATTAGTTGTGCATGAAATTCCAGTTTCAGTTCCAGTCTTTTCCAATCGTGACTTCACTTCCATTCCACAAGATTCGCATGCACGCATACACACACACACACACACACACACACGGACATAAACACACACAAACTCGCGAATCATGTTCAAGTACAGTGCATAAAAATTCAGGCTGCAGTTTAGGTGGCCATCGTCAGCTCTGCTCAGTTCCACATGAAGCTTGGCGTAAGAGTTGCACATGCGCAGCAGCTGATGCGAATGCTCGCTGACCTTGACCCTCAATCAGCAACGAGAGAGCGATTGAGCGCGGTGCGCATGCAGCCAGCCGGGTGAAACTTGTTGCCAAGTGCAGCAATGCAGACCACGCAGTCAAGTTGAAGTTTTGCCCTCTCCCCAATAGCCCTTCGTCACAAGCATTGCCAGCTCACCGTTCCCATACATGCATACTTATATTTGCGAGTGTGTGTCGCTTGCAAGATTTCACCATTAGCAGCGCATGGCGACGACTGTACTTTGTTTAAAGAAGCAGCACATAAATACATATATATGTAGGCAATGTATGGTTTATGCCCACGTGTGTGTGTGTGTCTTAATATACTTGTAGGTCTCGGTGCACAAGGAAGCAAAGCAAAGCAAAGAAAGCAGCGCACAAACACAAACACAAACACATACGCGCACGCACATGCACACGGCAATACGCTAGAAACAAAGGCAAAATTTTTGCTTTATGTGGCGGCACCTCCACCAAGCTGACTCAGTACAAACGGACTGAGAGCGAGCAAGAGAGCAAGGCGGCCGGCCGGACTATCAGCTGCCGTGCCATGTGTTCGCTCAAAAATCAGGAGGGGCAGCTGCTCTGGCTTTGCTGCTGCATTTGCCGGCTTAGAGAACAAGAACTGGTATCAGAACTGGTTCACAGGGGGAACACGGGAACAGGGAAGGGAAGAAACAGCGGGTGATCTGTAAAAATAAAGAAGTTTCAATTCAAGTGAAACACGCATTTGTATTGTGGGGTTATTATTATTATTTCTTTTGTCTCAAATCAGCAGCTCCAGCATTTTAATTTACAATTAAAAAACAATCACAGTGATATTTGAATTTTTTATCATAATCATTATCTTCGTAGTTCGCCTTGTTTTTTTTGTCTTGCTCAAGTGAAAAGGTTTGTCTGTTAGCTCATCTTCATCCTCATTCGCATCCTCGTGTAGCTTTTTGCCTCATTTTCTTGTATCATCTACTATCTGCCATTGTTAAGTTTTCGCTGTTGTTCTTGTTGCTGCCAGCTAGAATAGCTAACCCGCTAGAGATCTTGCTTGTTGATGTGATAGGTGAAGTGCAAAAGCTCGCCGGCCGCAGCTCTGTGGAGTAACAAGCTTCTCTTCTCTCTCTATCGCCTCTTTCTTTCCTCCTACTTCAATTTGTTGTTATTTATCTTCTGCGTGTTGGAGCTCCTAATAGGATACTTTGTAGTACATATATATATATATATATATATATATATATATATATATATATATATATATATATATATATATATATACATATATATATATATATATGTTTATATATATTTATTTTCGAGTTTTTTAAGGTAAATTATATATTCTTATATAGTTTTTCTTTCCATTCGTTATAATTGTAATTAGTAAATTCAAACACGTTTGCAGCATAATAATAATAATGTAGTTGTTGTTGATATTGTGGTAGTAGCTACTAAAATACAACGACGTCTGTTTCTTCTTCTTTTTCATCTACTACTGCCTTCCAGCGCCACTAGCGCCATCGTTGTCTTCTCTTCTCTCGTCCATCGTGCTTTCTCCTAGTTGTTGCTTGTGTATACACTGTTCTTCTACGACCGCAGGCTCGGAGCTTTGGAATTAGAGATGTGCTGCTTAGATGATGGTTAGATATATATGTATGTGTGTGGGTATGGATGTGATTCTGTGTGGGTGTGTATGTACGTGTGTGTGTTTGGTTGGGGTTGATTTCGTGTCTGTTGATCTTGACTTGGTTTTACTGATTGGTCGCTTCTTCTTTTTGCGTTTTGCTGTTTTTGTTGTTGTTGGCTGGCAATTGATTTTTTCATTAAATATTTTTTCTTTTCATTTTTTTTTATTTGACAAAACATTTTCGTTGATTTCTCAGAGAGCGTTCACGCCGCTTTCTCTAGTTCCGTCCACCCTTCTCGTCACATTCACGTCTCAGATGTCCGCTCTTGCCGCAGCCGTAGCAAGTCTTTAACGTCTCCGGGCAGTTCTTGGAGATGTGTCCGGTGCGGTTGCACTTATAGCATGAGACGTTTGCTGGCCCGGTGCCGCGCTCGTTGACCGCATCGGGGCAGTTGCGCACCCAATGTCCGGGCTTGTTGCACCTGTAGCACGTCGGATTGTCGGCTTGAGTGCAGTCCTTGGAGATGTGGCCAACACCGTTGCAGCGATAGCAGCGCTCCGCTTCTTCGGGGCACGCGCGTGCAAAGTGCCCAAATTGATTACATTTGTAGCACTTTTCACGATTGCGACGCATGCCACCGCCACCGCCGCCACCACCACCGCCATCACGCATACCACCGCCACCACCGGGTCCACCGCCTCCAGGTCCTCCACCGAGGCTGCAGTCCCGGGCAAAGTGGCCCGGCCGGTTGCACTTGTAGCACGTGGCAGACATCGACATTGTACTGTACTTGAGTTAATTAGAGAATCGGCGTACAACTGTTTTAACCACACGTTTCGTATCGTCCGACACTCACACACGAGCTGAGCTACTGCTGCCTCCACGAGCAAAACTGATTTGCGTTAAATGCAATTAAACAAAACTACAGGATATGCGAAAATCGCTTGCCGTAGTTTTTTCGACGCCAAAAATTAAAATGGCTACCACACAAAACTAGTACAATGGTATCGCCAGCAATTTGAGTATCGAGTATGGAAAAACGCCGCTGAACAGTCACAAACAACGAGCACACACAGGGATGCTTTGACTATACAACTGCAACACTGCAATTCCACGCGGTATACATTGGTACAAAATCTTAGCAATATGCTGCCAAATTTAGAATTGCACGCACAAGCCCGCCCGATTTTAAGATACGGCACAGCCAACTATATCGAATTAAAACAAAAATGCAACTATGTTTTTAGATAGCTTACATTTAAATTTAATTTAATCATTCCGATTGCAGGACAAGGGTTACATACTGTTAGATTTCTTATATTCGTTCAGTTGGGCAGCATCATTCTTAACTTCGGTCATATCGAGCGTAACTTTCCTCTTGAAAAGATATGATCAGTCACACCCCGGAAAGCATTTGGTACATAATCGTAAGACCCTAAATAGCTCAGGTCTGAGACTCAATAAAGTTTACTTTACGTGTACACTCGTACCACTGTCCACAGTTAAGTAGGCTGCCAGATCTGTAACCGGCAGCCTTGCCATATTCGCGCATATAACAATGAGTTGGCAGCCCATTAAATCTCTAGCAATATTTTGCACCTGTGCAATGTATTTTTATGTGTTTTTACCAACAATAAATTAGCGCTAGTTATGTATGCAAAATGTTATTTGTTCTGGTAGCGATTGCCATTCTGAGCAAATGCACAGCCACGTCCACAATCCACATGCCAGTCACCACGCAGGACATAATTGCAGGTGACGTGTTCTTCGAAATCATTTCGCCGCAAGATCTGGAATACACCTACCGTCTGCGGCCGGCCAAGGACTTTGGTGTCTCATTCAACCAAAAACTGGAAGGTGTGCCCATGGTACTTGCCGATCCACCCGAAGCCTGTCAACAACTTCGCAATGGTAGAGAGATGCATGGCAGCATTGCCCTTATGGACAGAGGGCAAGTATTTTATTATCATTTATTATCAAAATGAGTAACTATTTTTAACCTATTCACCGTTATCTGTGCGACAGAGAGTGCTCATTTCTTACCAAAACACTGCATGCCGAGGCCGCCGGCGCCATTGGCGCTATTATCACTGAATACAATTCAAAATCACCAGAATTCGAACTCTACATTGAGATGATTCACGATAAGACGAACCGTGACGCCCAAATTCCCGCTGGCTTTTTGCTAGGAAAGAATGGCATGATCATACGCAGCACGCTGCTTCGGCTGAAGCGTCTCCATGCGCTGATCAACATACCTGTCAACTTGACCTTTACCCCGCCATCTAAAATCAATCATCCACCCTGGCTGGGCTGGTGAACCTGAAATGAAGGCAGCTACCAGAAATTAAAACCAAAACTAAAACAAAAAACAAATCTGAAACCAAAGTGCATACTTAGTCAGTCAACAATATAGTATATACATAAATCTATTTAGCTCGGCTGCAAATCGCTAGAATTTATTCTGAACACAATTCAAACCTTTGCTCTAGAATTTTAACCACAGTATTTCAAGCATGGCTCTAATATTGCAATATTTATCTAGTGGGGACTACAGAAAACACTGATAAACTTGTAGTTGTAATTTATATTGTACCACAATTGACTTACAAACCATTAAATTCTTTCTAAGCTCGAAAATCAGGCATTTCAGGATTTATTTTAATTTTAATTCAAATACAGAATAATATAAAAAACAGTTGAGTATTTCTAATGTTCACAAACAATTTCTGGCATTTAGTTTGCTCACTTTTCAAAATATTCTGTGGCATTTTAACATTTATGAACTGCAAAAGTAAATTATAATATTGAAAAGACTTAAAATCAATTTCTGATATTTGATTTTTAGTTATTTAGACAGAATTTTAAAACAATTTATTATATTGCAAATTTAACTTTAGAATACATCTTTGTTGTGTTGGAATTTGTAAAAACAGACGATTCAGTCATTTTAAGTTTAAGAAAAACTGTTATTCACACTATTTGTTTATATTTCGAGCGCTTAAACAATATTATTTTAGCTTTTGCACAGTAATACGATGCAGTCTTCAGAGTTTTTTTATTATTTATATTTTTATCACTACATTTTACGACTCTTACGCAATTTTGTTGCCAAGTTTAAAAGCACAGCCCATAACTTTTGATGCTTACATTAAAGATATATACAGTTATTTATTAGTCTTTAAATTATATATTTTACATTTACAGTTTCTACAACTATTTGTTTGCAATTTGTGAAACTTGGTTTGCAGCCTAGACTAAACAAAAGAAAAAGAAGAAAAAATCTGTAAGAAATAACTGAAAAATGAACTGAATTTAAGTAGTTAAATTGTAAACAAAAGCAATCCCATAACAAACGTAAGGAACAAGAGGAGAAGAACCCAAGCTTAATTTGTAAATAAAGTCAAAACTTAAGCGAAAAGTCTAAGCTGCGCGTAAATCTTGATTGAGGCTAAGCTAATTATATTAAGTCCTGCTATGGAAAGAGTTGACGGAATCAGAACTTGCCCAAGGCGCTCAGATTAAGGCACATGCCCAAGGTGAGGACCACAATGGTCACCACGAGTATTGCGAAGCATAGATAGTTCGACTGGATGGGCATGCGGAAGAGCTTCGCGGACATGTCCAGCGAGGAGGCGAAAAGCAACGTTGAATTGAGATCCTCGGCGGAGGTATTGTGGTATACAAATGGACGGACACGTATTTGATGTCCGTTTGCCTGGGCGTTCTGGCAGACACGAGTTACGGACCCGGCCACAAAGAATGGTAGCAAGCCCAGAAACAGCCACAACATGACGTTGGCTATGTTCAGGAGCACCAGCTTCAAGGCGCAATAGTGGAAGTCGAAATCCTTGAACAGATAAACGAGCCCCGCAAAGGCGTACGCCAGATTCATGACAATCAGAAAGCAAACGGGTATGGAGACGTGCTGATTCACCCGCTCGAGCAGCTTGCGGAACTCCAGGATCTCGCGCATCCAGTCCAACGAATCGATAGAGTGCATCAACAGCTTGTGCGACAGCGACTCCAGATGCACGCGCAGCAAATAGCATTCAAGGTAATAGCTGCTCAGCACAATGATTTCCACGAGATCCTGCAGCAAGATGGTGCTCAGCAGGCCAATGCGCAGCCAGAGCTCCCAGTCGCGCAACGCCTCGGCCAGCCAAGCCACTTTGATGATCTGTGCCTGCTGCATAAACACCACACAGCAGGCGTAGCCAAACAGCAGCAACAGCAGAGCCAGCGCCACGCCCAAATAGAGCCAAAGCATGCGGCACAAGCGCTTGGGCTTCGCTGACAGCAGAAACACCCGTTCGATTAGATTTTGGAGCTGCTCGTGCTCGATCACCTTGCAGACAAGCACCGCTGAAACGAAGCTCAGCAGGTTGAGGAGACTGGGCACCACATAGCCAAAGAGCAGTTCGCCAATTGTGTTGGTCGCAGTGGTGGCGGAGGCGGAGCCGCACACATCGCTGTCATTGCCGCCAGGTCGTATGTCCCGAAGGCTGCTGAATCCGCGATCCCCACTGTAAACAATGTAAATTGTTGGACACTGCTTAGCGCTTATTTGCACCTGGCCGCGGTACTCACCGATAGCCACACAGATAGCGCAGCACGTAGCCCGTCAGCAGGACGAAGAAGACCATCAGCGCCTGGACGTAGCTGCAGCAGGCGCGCACATTGGTCATATCCGTGGAAATGGGATTGAGGCCAACCAAGGTCAGGATGGCCACATATGGCCGCAGGAACTGTAATGAGTCCATAACACCAATTAGGTACAGTGTGCACTCGCTATAGTAAACTAGATAACTGAACTGTTGTTGGGCAGATAATCTAGGATTTATCTAAAAACTTTGCTTAGGTGATATATTTCAGCATATGGAATATATGAATTATTGATCAATATCAACTATATTATATTCTTTACAGATATTCTTTTATGCCTGTAATGATTGAGCTTAGGAAATCCATACGTAGGAATCTACCGAATCAGCAGTTATATCATATAGGAGTTATTTGAGTATGGAATTATATGAAGTCGTTTACATCATTCAATTTTCTAGTTTGTTAAGTTTATGCGAGCAGCAAATATCTTTCGGATAACGAACCCGCCCTTGTACATACGCTCACTGAGGACGCTGGTCCGGCTACATGGAGTTTGCATATTATATATGTATATTAGAATGAATTTGATAAGCTCTGATTTTTAATTATAAGTCAAATAAATGTTTTAGATTAATAACTTTGTTTTTGCGATTACGTGTCGCATACTTAATTAACAAATAAACAATAAAATTTCTCGCTGTGTACTTTTGCAGTTAAATATCAGAACTGAGCTGTGTATATACACATACATACGTCTGAATATATATATATATATTTTCATGTACTGTATGTTCGTCTTATTTAATGGTATTCGTTTACTATATCGAGTGCGCACTGTTTACAAGTTCGCTTATTGCAAACATCTTTGTCTTCACTGTATTTTTGTATAGCCACGAAACGTACCTTGCGCTTGCAGTAGTTGAGGATCGCCGATGTGGGCTCATGTTCGCCCGGCTGTTGGGGTTCATCGTGGGTGGTGCCGTTTAAGCGATTGATGAAACAGAAAGAACTATCCGCATTATTACGATACATGACAGACGCAGACAGAGACAAAGTAAGTTTACACGCAACAACCACAACGATTACTACGACACCAAAAACAAAAACAATAACAGCGAGCAGAAGTGCGACGACAACAACAGTAATACAGGCGCGCACGCACGCACACACACATAACGACTGGACGTTGGTGGTTGCTGATGAGAGTGACAATGACTGGAGCTGGAGCGATGATTGGAGCGGCTGAAACGACGATCGCCGGCGTTGGCGGCACAGCAACAACTGAACGCGAACAGCGAGAGAGCACGAACGAGTTGGAAAAACTTACGATGAGCTCGTGCAGCCAGGATGAGGCGGCGGATGTGGCGCGGCTGCACCGTAATGTCGATGGCGACTCACTGAGCTGAGCTGTTGCTCGTTCTGCTTCTGCTTCTGTTTCTATCGCCGTTGTGGCTGCTGCTGGTGTTGTAGTCGTTGTCGTTGTCGCTGTCGCCAATGGCGTCGTCGTCGTCGGCGATTTCATCAATTGCTGCTATAACGGTAAATTGAATAAATTGAAACTCGAGCCGCGCACAGCGAGCCGAGCGCGAGCGACACAGAAGCCGATGTCGAGGCCGATGCCTATGCCTATGTCGTCGTTGACGTCGATGTCGACGTCGACGTCGAAGCTTTCCTGCTGTCACGTTGAAGCTCTCTTCGAGCTTTGCTCACAGCGTGCTCGCCGTGCACGCTCTCCCGAGGGCCCCTTATCAATGGAATATATCTCGGTAACAGAACGCGACGCCTGCTTTCCGCTGCTGTGCACCTGTTACAGTTTAGATAGGAATCAGCTTGTTATCGTGACCGCTATCTATCCAAAGCGAGCGTGCACATATGCAAATACAAATACATGTGTAACTGCCCATATGCACATGTGGCTAGCAGTAGCAGTGTGTGGCTGTTATGTAGAATTGCTTTTATGTATTTTATGTTTATCTTGAGAAGTTCTCGCGATCCGTTTATTGTTCTTGATTTGTCGTGAATCAACACGGAATTTGTTTATGTTATCTATATGGCTGCTCGCCGACGAGTATTGTAATGTCAGCAACTGCCTAACGGCAGTCGTTCCCAGCGGCCTCAGTCTCTGCCTCTGCCTCTGCCTCTGTCTCTGCTTATGTGTGCATGCATCTGTGTGCCTAGCTTTCCGATAACCCAGAGGATCATATATTGTGCAATGCGCTACCCTTAAAAGAGGCAGCTATTTGGGTTGTCAAGAAATAAGTAAATTTATATTTTAGGGGCTCTTTATAGTATTGGATAATATTATTATTATTACTTGAAATATTATTAGAAAGTCTGAGAGATCGATTGATATTAAATTAATTTTTGGGAAGTTTTTGAGAAATGCATACAGTTTGACACGAAAGTGTTTTCACATGGGGAAAAAATTATATTTTTGTTCTTTAACATAAAAAAAATATACTAAGTATGAGATTTCAATATTTTTTTAAATTATATTATGTTTTTTCAAATTATTGTCTTACAAAAATAATTAATAAAAATTAAAAAAACTATTAACAAAACAAAAAAAAAACAATAACAACTAAAAACATATTCAAATTCAAGTGACACGAAAGTGTTTGCACACATGCTATTCTTTATTTCTTTGTATTGCTAAATTCGTATTTACCGTTATTTTCGGCGTTTTCAATATGCACAGCTGTGGCTGATGCTATGTTCTGAAGAATTTCGTCATATTTTGGAAGAATCGATACACATTCATTACAATCTTGAACAAAATGTATATATTTCTTACAATCAGATTTAGTATGTGACATATGTCTTAATGGAATCGATTAGCTCGCCATTAATCAAAATATCGAAATGAAGTTGCATCCATTATAGAATTTATACATTGGAAGATACTTAATCTTCAAAAGTCTGGATGTGAAGATTACAAGTGCAGCGCGTCCCTCTGTTGCTATGGCCGTACCAACTCAATACCGAATGCTATCTTAAATGAAATGCGAATAACAATAACAACTAGACGAACAAGAAAACAAAATGAAGCAAAAAAAAAAAAAAGAAAGAAAAACAATTTACAAAGTGACACTCAAATTTATTTCTCTCGTTTCTCCATTTAGCTGAGATTCGTGCCGAACCGCCCATCAGACGATCACTGGAAGTTCTCCAGCTGCTGCTGGTGTTGTTGCTGCTGCTGCTGCTGCTGCTGCTAACGTCATGTGCACTCCCTCCTTGCTGCCTACGGTGCATTGGCCGCTGCGGTCGAGTGCGATGCTCGCACACGCAAGGCAATAAAGTATCGAAATTTACGTTGAGAAGTAATTAAATTAAATGAAACTCGAGTCGCAAGTTGTTTAAAACTTTTGCTGTTTTTTCGATGACGCCTCAACTGGAATTTGCTGTTGTTGCTGCTCGACTTCGATTTGCATGATGGGCAGCCGCAGTCGATGCCGCAGTTGACGTTGACATTTTTCGATGGTTCTGGCTCAGGCAATTTCCAATTTCCACCCGCAAGACAATCAGGCATTGCCAGTAGCAGCTGCAATGGTCTGCTCTGGAGGCAGGGCAGCAGTTGTGCTGGTCAATGCTGTCAGTGCCGGAACTCTGGTCACTCATGTAAATTAGCTGCGTTGTCAAATAATGCTGATTTGTTGTTGGTTCGTTGGCAGGCTAACAAAAGCAAAGTTTCCCACCCCCCATGCCAATGCCCATACTTAAACACGCCCCTTGCCTACAAGCTTGACAGACCAAAAACTGTCCAGTGGCCATCACTTGACGCATATCTCGATCCATACCATAGCCAGTTTACAGTGTTCGACATGCAGCTTTTTGTTTAAAAATCAAATCAAATATTACGAGAAAATTTCAATGCGGTTAAATGCATAGCAAATTGCGTCATCCCCCAACCCCGTTCGCTTTCGCCCCCTATTTGCTGGGCCGGACTAGGCGGTTTGGGTTCCAGCCGCAACCGCAAAAACGCAAATGTTGTCTCGACACACGTCGGAGTCTGAACATTTCGGTTGTTCTCAATGCGACAATTTTTGAGTGAGTGTTTCATTCCAGTGTTCCGCATTAAAATATGCTTTAGGCCAATAGTTTTAAAGCGGATTTAAGAAGTAATTACCCTGCATCGATTGCAAATGGGAAATCGGGGCATAATGGGTTTGTTAAGATGTTTGTAACTGTCAGAAGGAGGCGTGGCGGACACCATAAAGTATATATATTTTTGATCAGGAAGACAAGACGAGTCGATTCAGCCATGTCCGTATGCGTGAACGCGTCGACCTCAGCACCTATAAAAACTAGAGACTGAACATGTTTTGTAGGTCCATACCAAGTTTATTTTAAATAATCAATAACTGTTCCCGTTTTATTGGGATCGAAATGCTGTTATATAATTCAATAATCTCGTATGGCCTAAGAACTATACATATTATGTATATGTTATGTAATTTTAAATAGAACTATAATTGAATGCTGGACACATATAAACTATGCAAAATAATTAAAAAGGTAGGTCGGGTAAGGGTATCTCCTAGTCGAGCAACATGAGTAGAGATTTCTTATTAGTTTATTAAAATTCGGAGTTGTTCACTATTAAAAGTGAGCTTAAGAGAGGACATTTGCTCAATCTGAAACTCCATCCTGGTACCAATGGAGCACCACTTAATATAAACTAACTTTTGGGGCCTCTCGCGCCTTTATTTCCTTATCTCCTCTGAAATATTCCCCGGATCTGTTGGTGACGTTTTTAATCACTGCCTTATTAATTTATGCATTAGATATCTTCTCTTGATATATGTAAATTTGAAATGTTCTCTCAGTTCTCCATCGAAGTTGAAATGAGAACAATTCAAATTCTGATTGTATCTATTGCCAGAGTAAGTGAAATGCTTGTCGCTTGTATTGAAATGCTGCAAGAGTTAAAGCTGAGATTGAGCTTTAAATTTTGGCTGCCACGCCCATTGTGCACAAGGTGCATCTGCTCTGCACGCCTCTAAAAAGATCAGATTGTGCGACGTGTCAAGTGTCCAAAATTCAATTAGACTTCATTAGCATTAGCAGCCGGTGGCACCTTGCTGATGTTGTTGTTGTTGTTGTTATATTTGTTGTTGTTGCTGCTGCTGCTCTGCCTGGGAGCACCTTGTGGCTGTGGCGTGCACAGATTTAACCGTTTGCAGATTAGCATAAATGAGATCATTAAAATGCGCTTACGTTTGTGTGGGCTTGGGTGGGTTGAGTGGGTTGAGTGGTGCCCGCAGCTGAGTGTTTGGCTGGTCCGGGGTGGTGGCAAGCACGTAGCAGACGCAGCCTGCAAATTGCTTGGCAGTAAGTGTCACTGCTGTCAGGGTTCGTGTCTTCGCTGCCGCACTGTGTCACACACGCACACACACACACACACACACATTTATATATATGAAATTTGCATAATTATTGTTGGCATCTTTGGCATTAATGTTTAATATAGCAACTAGTTTAGCTTTTTTTATTATCTACTATGGCTTAATTGGGCATTACATCTCGTCTAACGAGTACGTAAACAAGCAATTGCTTACACCCTCCCACAAGGTTAGGTGCAGTGGAACCGTTCGGGTCCGAAGAGTGGCCAATTTAGTGGCTGTGTGTGTTGAGGCTTAGGCTAGGCTGCATATAAATAACTTAAAAGTGTGCTGCAGTTTCGTTTGTTGTTTTCTTTTGGATATTGCAACAATCCGTTTGGGGTTTCTTAGAGTTAGATTTCGAGTTTGATTAATGTTCATTTAAATTTATTGAAAATTTAATTTAAAAAAAAAAAGATTTTTAGATTTTGTTATTTTTTCATATTTTCACACATGAGCAATAAATATTTTCTGGTTGGCATTATGTTAGAGGCATATTCTATTAACTAATAAACTAATAGACTCTTCATAAACATCGACATAGAATACACAGAATATTTCCCAAAAGCATTCGCTTAAGTAACACAGGACTTATTCAAAGAAGAAGTCCAATATCTTTAAGATGCCTGCAAAGGAACTTTAAGTCTTTAAAGACCTCAGCACATACCAGTTATAACTAATATACAATGTTATTTTCAAAGCGAAACGTGTCAAACAGAATGCGTGCAACTGACTTCTTAATACATGCTCCGAGTCGAAAAGAGGAAACAAACAAGCTGAAAGTCCATAATTCAGCAAGCTATCGATTCACGCTCTATTCTAAAGAGGCGTATGTGGGCATGGCCAATCCATGAGGAAGCTTATCTGTCTGAAATGAGTTGAGTCTAACCTCAGTGCGTAGCAAAGTCAGGCGTTATAAATGAGCACTGAGCGAGCTGGTAATAAAAATAATGTTTCCAGTTGATTAGCTCTCGGACATAAACAACATAAGCCACAGTTTTCTGTGGATATGGCATGCAGATAGTGTGTACACGCATGGGATGTCTGTGGATCGAAATATATATACTATGTATATATGTAAATATCGAGTCTAGTTAATTGGCCTGTCATAAAACTGTTGCTATTGCAAGTTTTTCGCTGAAGCGTAGTTGCGGTTGGATGCTAGCTTCCAATGGGGCATGCAGCAGCCCGTATATGTTGTGGCGCACAACAGGACTGTGTGTGTGTGGGTTTGTGTGTTGCAGCAGCTTTTGTCTGTGCCGTACAACCCTTCTTGCCCGCCAAACGAGCTAATTTTGATGATATCCACAGACAGTCGTTGAGTTTCGGTCCATTTTGACAGGGAGATGCGCTGTGGTGTAGTTGTTGCTGCTGGTGCTACCACTGCTGCTGCTGTGTGGGTGAAGTTTGCACTAAAAGCCTGTCGCAGCCTGCAAATTGAATCAGTGTGCGTGTGTGTGTGTGTGTGTGTGTGTGTGCCCAGAGGGCGACGTGCGCGCTCTCATGAAATGTGACCGCAATTGCGGTTCGTTAGCTGCATTTCAGCTAGTCCACATGGTCCACATGGCAATGGAGCCACGCTCACACACTCACACACACACACGTACACAGAGAGACTGAGAGAGCTGAGGCCATGTTGCACGAGCAGGTGGCAAACGTGCATGGCCCGCCGAAAA